TTAATCTAATAAAAAATATTTGAATTTATGTTTATTGTAAAAAATTAAAAAAATTTAAACGATTATTTTAACTAACAAAAGCTAATTTATCAGCGAGGAACACGTATTGTATTTTATAGAAAAAGGTAGATATCTCTATAATAAACCCATGCAAAAGCGGGACGACTGGCTAGTATACAATATATGTAAGACAATATTATATTAGTATTGTTAAACAATGTTAAATGAATATGGAAATGTTAGTACCTATAGTAATGATAAAACTAAGAATATGTATAGGGTACTACTAATTTATCTAATTGTGTTCAATTAATGTCATATAGCTATACAATATTATAAATATAACAGTATTTAAATAGATGTATAATGTGTATATTTAAAATAATTAGAATCAGTAACATATAAGTAACCGTTAGAATTTCAGGTTATACTCTTATATATTTTTATCACTGTTTAACAACTCCTGTGGGCTTGTCCGAGTTTTTCTTTAACAATATTATTATCATTTATTGATAATTATGTCCTCAAAAAGCAATTATCTCTTGGGCAATAACTATTATGCGTATACTTACTTATTATTATTATTTATGTATGCGTATCAGGGAGATAACGATAATTTATATATTTGATAAATTTAAACGCAATTATACAAACAATGTTATCATACTTATTATCACGTAGACATTTATTATATTAAAATATATTATAGAAAATAACCGATTACGATAAACAAACTTAAGTGTGTTTAGTGAATACAAAGTAAATACATTTGTGTTTTAAAACCACAAACTATGTGATAGAAATTTTGAAAATAAATATATCAATTGATTGCCTCTTCTGTTTTCCGATTTCTTATGCATATAAAAATAGTATCAGACCGATATCTGTAGTATATATATGCACATTATTGTATATGTAGATTAGAATAACTAATAACTGTAGAGAAACAAAAGACAAGATAATAATTTTGTAGAATTTAAGCCTGTCTTTATATTTTATACTCATTGCGCGTGCATGAATACGTACAGCTTTCTGATATTTTACTGGAGGTTTAACTTAGTGAGCAGACTGTATTTTTCAGCATGAAAATATCTTAACTCATATGAAGCAAGAACGGGTCATTATACGTTAAAAGTTTATCATTTATATCTTAACATAATTAAAATACCTATTGATATAAAAGTTTATAAGAAAAACATTTTTTTATCGCCCTGTTAGGTCGCACAAGTAACAATATCATTCGCCATTGTTTTAGGTACGTATAAGAATTGTGTAAACAACTTTAATATTTATAAAGGCCTGATAATTACACGAAGCAACACTCCCACTGATAAAAATACGGGGTACTGAGATAATTATGAAACGACAAATGGGTAGGACAACGTATTCAGTAATCAATCAAAAATGTTGACTTTTATTATGTATATATATAAATAATTTTTATCAAAAACGATAATTCAATATTTTGATCGATAGCAGAATAAACTGTTAAGTAGTAATTGAGGAATTAATAGGAATAAATTCGTAACACAGTTGCAAACATTTCTAATAATAAGTTTTACGATTTTATAAGGACCATTTCACAATTGTATTTGTGAAGTAACTTAGATTGGTAACTAGAGCTCAAAAAGGTTCATAGAAACGAGCAAACCTATTATCTATTACAAATACATATCGTTATGACTGCGTTAAATAATAAATGGGCGTATTTAATTGTTTCAATTAAACTGTACCCAAATATATTCAGTCGTAAAGTCGTCGGGGTCGTGTGGTATTCACAGTTGCCTTTATGTCCGGAGGCGTGGTTTTACGTCATAATATGAACTCACTCTACAACAATGCTAGTTATTTGTTGACAAAAAAGAGGAACAGAATTAGTCGAGCCTCCAACAGACCGGGTTCCCGTTACTAGACAAAGCATTTTGCATTATCGTATACATGTTATGTCTGTTCCACTCAATAATAATTATAAATAAAAAGGTTTGAATCATTTTTATATGCAACACATGATTTTACCAGATTCCCGTTGGCCATGAGCACACCAGAAGAATTTCAGGTAGTTTATTGGCAGAGAGCTAAGCTCTTTTATTAAAGGTTCCCAATATGTTTGTTTATTGTGGATCATGTCGAAAATACTATAACTATTTTGAAAATACTTACGTACAAAAAGCAATGTCATCAGCGAGTAATACAGGCTGTATTTAATTTTTATACAATTAAGAGACTTAAACCACAGATAATATAATATTACACACTTAAACAATGTTATAAAGTTGTAACAGTGGTAAGTTAGATGTTTGTTTATTAATTTATGTTATAACATTTCCAAAATGTTACGAGGAAAAACGGAAATACATATAACAATACATATTTACGTAATTATTTGATAAATTCCAAACATTTATATAAATGGAATGTATCCGAAATTATCTCCACAGTTTACAGTACGTAAATGCCTCTGACTTTCTGTCGAAATTTGGTAAAAAAATAAGACAATATCTTTTTAGAGAAACCAGTTTTTTACGCAAAATCAAATTAGTAGGTACCTACCTGCTCTGTAATTTACAAAATAATACAACTTTATTCAGCTAATATTGCAAAACTAATTTTGCAATGACTGCTTTATTTCATCTTTAACAATTTGTTAAATAAAATGATATTCCAAAGTTATGTTAAAATATTATTTATCCTGAAATATTTACTTGTTCTTTGTTTTGTTGTCCATTTAAACACGTACCTATATTATTTGGTCGTAGAGAATCTTTCTTTTCAGTCTTTCTTTAATGTTATCTAATATTTCTGACTGATTAAATACTTTTAATTAGTTTTATTGTAGGTACATGAAAGTTGACGCATAATTAATTGTTGCTTACACTCATTAAGTTCCAATATAACACATTCTATTTATTGATCCCATTGTAAGTTTAAACATTGAAGTAAATACAATAAATTGCCTTGAGATATACTTGGTTTTAATTTTATACTCAGCCATTATTCCGTTGTATGTAAATATAAGTACCTACCCGTCATCATGCGATATCCAACGATCTCTGACATTAGCGTATCTGCAGTCATCATGTCCATACATGACATTATCATTACGGAAAAGTACATAATATTGCACCAGATGATTCTAATTAAATCTAAGTGTATCAAATTACTTTAATTCAGATTTTATTATTCAGAGAACAGGTTATGAATCTGAAATTATGTGTCCAAAAATCAAAGATGTTTTGTCAACAATGGCAAAATTTATAATTAATTTCTACTTATTTATTTAATAAAGAATATTTGGTATTTATTTCTACATTAGTATATATCATTATATATTAGTCTCATCAAATAGAAGCTTTGTATAGATACACAAAGCATAATAGCAGTTATGTAATCTCAATAAAAAATATAGAGTCTCAATTTAAACATCAGCAACAATATTTGATAAATAGTATACCTACTATTTATCAAATATTGTTGCTGATCACTGTTGTCAAATTCTGTTTCCAGCACAGATAACAATTATCTATTAATTGGGTAAATTTATTTTCGTAATATCAATAGTTTTACTAACGGGTGTGTCAAGAGGTCCCTCCCACTCATACACATAGAGTCTGTATGGGAGAAGAATACAAGGTCTCTCCACCTCTATCTGTGCACGGACAGCGTTTACTGTTAGCGCATGCGAATGTACTATAAGATTAACCATTCATTAAATAAATTATTTACTTATAGTTCTAATCTAATGAAGGCAGAAGGTTCTTGACAGATTAGAAATATGTATCGTGACTTTTCAATATTACTTCTAATTAAATATATTATATTACCCGATACATTATCATTAAGAGTCTTTGCTTTTTTATATAAATCTTATCACTGTATAATTTCTGAATAATATATTAATGAACGTGACACGTATTGTAAACGTGAAGAGTGATAAAGAAATCTAATACTTTCCCGTTACGAAAACTATCAAAACAAGCAATAAGTCTCTATCTATCCTGTCTAAAGTCTGTTATGACGAAGTAAGGTGTACTTGATCAGAATAGTCAAATTAACTGATCGTCAAAATCATCAATCTTATTGCCATACAATATGAGCTTAAACGAATAATTTACCGAAAAAAATATTTTTATTGACAACTAAAAGTATTTTCAAAGAAGAGAAGTGTATGTTTTGAGGCCACAGACTGCTTGAGAATTATGTGATTTCGTTATTAAAGTAATAATAGTTATTTACATAAACCTATATATTTTTATTTAACCCGATAAACCTCGTGAGATTAATGAAATAAAGATACTTACTATATATTTATTAGTCATTAAAATACAATAATCTAATTTTAAATATGTTATTACTATATCAATTGAAAGCTGTGATTTATGTATAATAGATATAATATCTAAATAATTAAAATACTGAATACGTCTTCATACGTTATCTACAAGTATCTTTTAATCTACCATTGTTAATAGATAGAAGCAGAATTATTTATAAATATATACACAGTATTTTATCTAACAGATACTTTAAAATTTTATATTTAAATTCAATTGCATACTGACCTTAAAGATTGTAAGCCCGTCAAGGAAGTTAGTGGGCGGAAGAGAATGGTTGCTTTATGTTTTAACAAAAAGAAAAACGAAAAGAAAAAAATAAGCAGTTGCTTATTTTAACACTGATCATTTATTGAAATTATTATTTATTTAAAAATCATTTAGGATCTAATACTTAATAGTTATATTCTATTAAATCTGATTGTACAAGAAATTAACTTCTCCGAAGATAAAATTATTTCAGTAAAGCTTGCGTTAATATATGAGGAAGTCGTGACTGAATGATTTTGGGTCAGGCCAAGGCTTGCATTATACATTGTATTGACTGAAATCTTCTGTGCAAATGTATGTTATGTAATATGTAAAGGTTACGACCGAGTACAAAAGCATTGTTTGTAAATAAAACAATCGAAAGGTAGACCCTAATTATTTCTATAAATGAAAACTCACCGCCAGCTCCATGAAGGGTTTTCTCCTTATCTTCCATCATAACGTGGGCAGCGCTAGCTCCTGGTGCCATAATTATTCTTCTAGCAGATGATCTTCTTGTTAAAGCGACAATATATTTCACGCGATGCTGCTGCGCTTTCTTGCGACGTGTGCGCGCTCTTTGAATGCTTCCTGAGGACTGGACGCCGGTTCCACCGGTTATCACTGAGCGAACCTTATCAGCACCGCGACAGTGATTGCCGAACAACCAAATAATGGCGGAATATATTTTGCAGTATAGAAGCCAGAAATATATATACCATTCGCCCTGGACGCTGACTAACGCCATCAATAGCGACCTGTAACAACATATAACTATATATTAAAAATGATAAATTAATTTTGATCGCGATTTGTTATCAGTATCGCAGAATATATGTACTCAGTTAGTACTCAATGAACGTTATACTGTTATCGATTAGTATACAGATAAAAAGTATCTCTAGATTGTTTATTTTATCTATACAGCCTAAATAACGTCAAATTATGAATAAAGTCATATTAACTTCGTACGTTATTATTTTAAAGTATAAATTATATTTATTGAATACGATCTGTAAGTAGGTTTTCAATCACCTTCATTTCTTTAAAATTAAGTCGAAATTCTTAAAATACTGGAAAGAAAGTAGAGCCAGAGACCTGTTCCGATTCTTTATTATTAATAAGTATTTACTTATACTAGTGTTTCAATATTTTTCAGAGATTCTATTACATTCTGAATTGTAAATCGGCTGTAGTTATAATGTAACAATAATTATTTAATCTAATATCAAATCTAATAATCAAACTGTTACCACGTGTACAGAGAAAATCATAGTTAAGTAGATACTCACTACCAACAAGCAATAATCAGCAATAATAATCATTCATTTGAACCCACGAACATGAGTAGCGAGAGGGAATTGTTGGTGATTGATCATGGGAATTGGCGACTAGAGTTCTCATTGCTAATAATATTTGAACGTCCTGTTACATCGATCTCATTATTATTATTATTATTGTCTTAAAAAGTTCTTAATGAATTAAAAATACACTGAAAGTACATTCGGAACTGACGATAGATTTGAATTAACTTTGTTAGTAATAGATCTACATACTTAAATAAAAATATTTTGTCATGTTGATTAATTTAAATTTCATTATTTAGTTTACTTGCAATCCACTTATTTCTCGGTGTTGCTGGCTGCCTATCCATCATTATTATTATAAATATTTATATTATTTTGATAACCTTATTTTATATATCACTTTTGACAATTCGCAAAAGAGCTCACCCTTTTGGAGGGATATTTACTCATATATATAATTATTACCGTATTTTAATAAATAGTTGTAGTGTTCCCGCTCCAGTCACACTTATATTTTTATAAAGTTCTTAAAAGTCTACGTGGGTTAGCTTCACCTATTTAAATCACCAAGCAGCTTGCTTTATAAGCCGTATTTTGGTTGAAGGGTGAAGACAAGGCAGTCAAATTACAGGATATGAGGCACCACATCTTAATTCTTCGGAATGGCAACACTAAACATGAGTAGTGTCACAGGAGTCGCATATTCCCGTGAAGACTGTAGTATTGTTCATGTTTATAGGAGACGGATACCACTCATCCTGATGAGGTCATAGTTTACCATTGCAATACATAAAAAAATTGCAATAAAATATATAAATAATGAAACGATGTAAAACACTACTATAATTACAGATCTTTGAAATAATGATGTTGACACAACTGCGAGGATTTTCTTATTAATTGTCAACAGTCAACAATAGGTAAGTATAATATTTTTCTAGTCCATTGTACCTGTGTGAAATATAACTAGAATCTATAATAATATAATAGAACATTGAATGTTGATATCAATTCATCTTTATGGAAAGTGTGTGCTGATGACTAAACGTGATCTTCCGTCATCTGATTGGTGTATTTTACATATTATTTATTTATTGAAAAGAAATGTATTGAAATTGAAATATAAAGTATATTTATTGTCGTTTAGTATCCACAACAGAAGCTCTGCTTAGCTTTGGAATACATAGTGCTAAGTGCATTGTACGTATGTCATTATTATTGTATAAAAACTCTGGAATCAATAGAAAATGCTATATGTCGTAACTTTGCTAGATGTTCGGACAGACATGTTCTAATTGAAATATCTGTTACACATATATTTATTTAAATATGCCAGTTGTATGGGTACAATGATCGAAATTCGACCTTATTAATTTCAATTATAAGTTTGAAGATTATTAAAGTTCCATAGTCAAAGACAATACTTCTATGCATTTGTGTGTCAAATACGTGGTAGCGTGTGTAATGTTTTTTAATAATTTTATGTATTTTGCATAATTAAATAAAACGTTAACTGCTACAATTTTCGCAACAAAGGGTACACAGCGTTTACTTCACATCGTATCTCTGTGGTCAAGATGTCCAATTAATGCAGATTATCATTATTATTAATTCAGGATATCTGCCTGCGTACATCGTTATTTACATTTTGACTACTTTATTTTCTTTTGTAAGAAACTACTCTCAAATTGACCTCTTCAGAATGTCGTCAATTTCTTTATTTACATGCATCGAGGACGCCCTCTATCAACTTGTCCTTTCACTTCTTATTTATACTTGCATAAATAAGTGATGTAAAGTTAATCTTTATTTCGAACAAAGCTGAAACACATAGGTATAAAGGTATGCAGTTGAGAATTTGAGAATGCGGTGGCCGCTGTATAATCTGCTGAATCGATGTATTATTCATACTCTGCTGACTTGTTTCACTGCTTACGTAAATATCACGGATATTTAAACAATGATAGTACTTATTGATTTATTGCACGTACTATAAGGTAGTAAATTACTAACGTAATTTAAATGAATTAGCATTTTATAAGAAATATATATAGATCTAGACTCATTAACAACAAATCATTACAAACCGGAGCTATTACAACACAAAGTCATACTTTGTTTTTCTAATTAGAAGAGTAGTGGAAGTTTTCCAAGATTATAGGAACATTGTTAATACTACATAGATTTGATATGGGCTTTTGCTATCTATTCTGGAGCTACAAGACTAACCCATACTATTACGGAATATTATAAATCTTGTATATCTCTATTACCTTTTAAACATTCCGAAACATTGTGTTCAATAGTCAAAAAGACCTTCTTGGTTTCGAGTTTAGTCACACATTTTTCTTTTCTAATAATATGTACCTGCAGATTCTACTATGTTACGATATTCTCTTCTACTTCTTCTTCTTGACAAACCAATCTTTATTGAAGAATTAAATAATAATCCCGTGGATGTTAGTTTTCTCTGACAATACAAAGAGCCTGCATTGTTACCACTGTAGGTTAGTATTCAAAAACGGATTCTTCTCCATATTTCGAATGAGAGACATTCATTCGAAATATGGAGAAGAATCCGTACAATCATTGTAGTAATTTCATGGGAGGCAAACTCATTAGGTATACTTAGTACTTTGAATAGGTTGAAAAAAGTTATAATAAAAAGTCTAGTATTTGCATATCTTTAGATCCTCCAATTAATTGCCGGATGTAATAATCAAAGCTGGGCCTTTGACCTACTAGTACGTCTCTGTTATTAATTACAATCTATGTACGAGTAGACTTTAGTTCTCGAAGCAAAAAATCTTCATCAAAACTGATATGAATATCATATATGCTTTTTTCTCTTATATAATTACAACATATTTATTTACGCAGTAGACATCCTATTAAGGTTGTTGATAATTTTTTTGTTACCAAAATATATAATGGTATATTTTGTCAGCAGGAGTTTGACATCATTACTAGCAATTTAAACTATCCCTAAAGTCGTGTTCGATGCGATATTCCCTAGAAACTAAACACATATAAATTTCTCAGAATGGATGAACTTGACTTCATCTATATTTTATTCTCTTCCACTGGTATTTCGCTAGCCTATAGATAGATACTGTTAGTATAAGATAGAGTACCCGTTGTTCATCTATACAAATAATGCAAAGAGGTAGAGTATATGAGTTTATTTTAGAGATAGTCTCCTGTACTACTGATACGATTTTGAAAATTAAGTTAAACAAGGATAGCCCATTTATCGAGAAAGCTATAGACTATATAACATGACGCTACAACTAATAAAAGCAGAGCTCTAATTTTTTTTGCGAAAACGCGAAAATGTATTACAAACGAGGTTGCGCGGGTGATCTAGTCAATTATAGAGAAATCAATTTCCATGCACTTGATATGGACGTCATTGGTCTGACGTAATAACTAATAAGTAAAATATAAACATACATCCTCGACGACTTGTATAATTGAATAAAACATTTTAATATGATTAATGAGTGTAGGTACTCAATAATCGTATACAACAGACAGGTAATTATTAGTGTAGGTAGGTATTAATTTATATATGCATATTTATGTTATATATTTTTAATTACCCGACATTTGCACGAGTATTATTTTCTCGAAGTATCGCGTGATCTAGTGAAGAACAATACAGTTGAGTTTTGACAGTTCTTCTCAATTGACTACTTACACCAGTCGTCTGAGCGCAAACGTTGGCGACAGCAGGTTGACAAGATAGTGTAGAGTCGTGATCCTCAGCAGTGAGGTAACGATCAAGATGATAGGCTTAACTGAATGGTAGAGAAAATAATTTTAATACAAAAACTTCAATTACTTAAGTGACTAATATGTTCTACGTGAGCCCATGGTGCTCGCTGCTTTTTAGTATCAGGTTACTTATAATTTATATTTTACCGAAAACACAATATGTATAGTAAATCTGATGAAATATTTGTATTTATGAATCACAAACTGTATTGTCATATATTCATATAACTTTAATTACAACTAATAAGTATCAGTATGTTATAAACAAAGCACGATACAAATACATTGATGCGAGATGGGAAACTTTATATAAACTTGTCTGGCCTCCGTAAGAGGATAATAAATAATAATAATGCTATTTAAATAGCTAATAATTAGTAAATCTTACGTTATATAAAATATTGACAGTTTCAAATATCAACTTATAGGGGGAAAGTGGATTGTCAGCAATGTGGAGTAATGACCCCATTGCTATAGCAATGTGCCATGTCAGGTTGACCTCACTGTTCCTGTCCTTGGAAACCAACGTAATAAATTCATGTAGAATTTACCACAATGGGCTAACTGATCTAACTTCATACTCATTTTATCATCCTACTCTGATGCCCCGCCAGCGAAAATTGTTAGCGCAGGCGGGTGCCACATTCTTTATCATCCATATGAAAATAAAATTACTTGTAATTGATGTATTTCTATCAAAATATCTTTATTCATGTGGGTCTATAACAGACTCAAAGATGTCAAATCTACCGTCGGAATAATTTCGAGATGAAGAACTGACAAGAAACTCAGCTCGTATTTTTTTTTAAATGTTGTACATATTTACAATAATACAGATTCATTTAAATTCAAATTTGGGAGAATAGAGTGACCAACCTATAATAAAAGAACGTATGTAATATTACAAAAATATGCCTTGCCTTTATATGATCATATGATTTAAGTACTGTAGTAAGAGTTATGGCGCTATCACTTTTCATCTCTAGCTGGTATGACCATTATCTTCATCTTACTAAAAACATGTCAGTACATTCGGCTCGAAGGAAAAAAAATATAATATATTACCAGTAATCATTACTAATAATGTACCTGCTATTTATTATGCATAGCTTCTGTACTTCCATGTTTTAAGCGCAATCCACAACTACCCTGAGTCTTCTAGACCTGTATGAAATTTATTGATGCTTGGCCTTGTAAACGAACATCCAAGTGTAGGAAATATTCTAATGATTGTAGCCAAAACCATCAAAACATCTTTATTAACTTTAAAATGTATCTATAATTAACAATCACAATCGCCAGATAAACCGAGATCTTTTGTCAAAAATTATAACATTTTTATTTATAATATAGTATAGTATTATATTAGTTATAGTAATATTTCAGAATAATTGACACAGCGCCATCTAGGCCCAAACTAAAGAGAGCTTGCGGGTGACTATACTGGCAACTGATACAAATACATAGATACATTTTTATGACGTCAATAAAGCAAGGTTAACAATCATTTGATTTTACTCGATTTACTATTACTTAATATAAAAGGAATGAAACTCTAAATTATTACAGAGCAACATATATATATTATTGATTTATCTGTTGCGCAAAGACCTCACACACTTCAATGAATGTGTATGTAAACAGCAAATGATTCCGTATGTGGTTAAGCCAAAAGTAGAGTACGTATACTAATTTAGTTTATAACACCTTGGCATAGAGATTGAATTCATACATTGTATTGAGTTATAAATATAAACACAGGTGGTGATAAGTTTCTATACAGATACCTACTTTTGCTTTTTAAATGTTGAATACAGATTAACTTTAATATCAATATATGTGCTATATTTGCTTATGACTTTACTACAAATATTCCATCACAACGGGTCAATCTCTGGAATGTTCTTTGCCTAATTAATAAAGTATATTGTATTATTAACTGTACAGGTATTATTCCATTAGAAACCAATCCTTACCCGTGTTTAAAGACTAAATTCTTCCTTCGCTGTAATGATCAGAGGAGGTGTGCCTTATGAAATGCACCAAATCGTGGCGCATAGCAGTGCGCCCGTGAATAGCGATGAACGTTTCAATACACATTCGCAATAAGTCCTAATAGACCGTTCAATTCAACCTATTAGTCGACACTTTCCCACAACATCTCACAATGAATCCAAAACAACAGTAAAACAGTCTCTATAAGTCTCTCAGATCTGAGTTTCGTAACAAAACAAACGTAGCGTGTTCATCTAATGATTGTTTATTTTACACCAGACCGTATTTTTCTCATTTTAACCAGATTCCAATTCGCGATTGGGGATAGTTTATATATTTTAATTGAATATGTTTTACGCAATGCGACAGAGCGGTCGTTTTGCCCGGATGATAACGTGGACTGTTGTTGCTTTGCTTTGGTTGTCAAGCGTGGATTATTATCGCGGCGCGGCGTGGCGAAAGCAGATATAGTAGTAGGGGCTAGGTAGGCAGCGACCGGCAAGCTGCCTTCGTGTGACATCGATTTCGATTCGGGTGCATTCGGCAGGCGCGGCTGCGACTGCGCGGCGCGTAGAATGCCACTTTGTTTATGTTGTTTGACATCCTAGCCTGCCTTCATTGCATTTCATCAGAGTAAACCTAGGTGCTCTATTATCAGTAACTAGTCTAATTTACTAGTTCTCAAATCTTCGAAGTAATGGACTGTTCCCAACTTAACTGATTCCACTCATATCTGCATTTACTTTGGCACATAAGATCATTTCAATATTTTGTAGGTATTTACTAGGACCATAATTTAATTAAAATATGCTTTAAATATCAAAGCATGTATTTGTTTTAATGAATAAATTTGCATGTAGTGGTAAAATACCTATTCTACTCTTGAGATTCAACAAAAACTCGATTTTCAACCAGTTTCCTGTCACAAACATGAATTGAATCTTGTTTCATCTGGCATACACTTTATCATCACAGACATGTATAAAGATACATACATATAGTGCGTTTGTACTTACCATAGTAAGCTAAAGCTAAAGTGTCTCTATCTAAATTTGGCGTGAAGATAGGTTTCATATAATAGACGAAGTCACAGGTAACAGGTAGTTTGTTCTACATTTTGCCAATTACACTGTTGCAACATCTTTTTTATATAAACGGTGGCCATCACTGTCTATACTTTGCAGGAAACAAGGAGTAAGAAATCCTTATCAAAAGTTAAGCAGAAGCTTAGTTCTAAATCTGAAATAATCTCTATCAGTTACTGAACTGAAGTTTATAATTAATACTACCTAATTACCATCATATAACATGACAAACTTTACAGACACTGTTATATAAGTAATACGATATCTAATGTCTAACTGTTGCTCTTTTTAATGGTTAATTATGACCTTTCGGTAGTTTATCAGTCCGTAATCCTACATGTTATTAACAAGGATGTCTGTATTTGATATCAGTACGGCATTGATAACTTTTAGGAAGCGACACCATGAAACTAACCCTGGAATGTAAAATAGGTTATCATTTTGGTCATTTTACTTACAATTGATGTATTCTACAAATTTCTCTTTTTTACTAAATCACACAGATTCGGGGAACAAGAAGATAAATTTGAAAATCAAACATACGGTCATGGCTGAGATGATTTTGTGTATATTTGTATAATTTTTAAGATTAATTATTTATGTTAGAAACATACTAATATTACAAAGTTGATTAGGGTACTGGCACTAGTAGTCGACACCATGCCTTTTTCGGTTTAAACCAATAGGAATAGCGCTATAACAGAAAATAACTAATCAAATTATTTTAAATAGCTTCTATGACTTCTCATTGCTAGAATTAAATCCAAACATAGTACCTACGTGGCTGCGAAGTACATTAAATATGAATCTATTTCGACGTCATCGGCTGACGAGGCGACATGCGGCGTGCGCGCCATTTTTTTTATTAGTGAGAAGCGTTCACAGAAATAGTAATTTATTTCATTATTTTGTTAATTTTAGGCCACTTTGTATTAAAATTTACATTAATTAAGACTTTTGGCATTGTAATCAATGAAAAGTATCATGTTTTTCTTAAGAATTATTAAATAATGAAGTGGCCGACTACTGGTCATTTTTATATACATTATCCAATTGATGGCTGACTACTGGTTTTAACGCTGTTTGTCAAAAACCCAATAGTCAAAATAGTTAGAGTTTGTTACATAGTACTATCGCTCTTTTTTTTTTATATAGTTTTTTATACAAAAAAATAAAAAAAGCAGCTCACACAGATTCGGGACTACAAAGAACAAAATGCACAAGATGTGATTTAGTGGAAATTAAAATTAAAATTCTCAGAATAATCAAACACACAGAAACCTACGTTAATCGTTTTAGAAAGAAGAAGAACAAATCTTTTTAAATACTGATGTTACTAAAGAAGTTTCCGCTGATTGTTGATGATTTTGTTAATGTATATTTGGTGGCAATATGTATAAGCACTGGTGAAATTTTTAAAAAGTATTTTTCACTTTATTAAAGATAAATTTGTAATTTTTGTTAATTTTGTATGTTAGAAACATATTTTCTTATATATTACAAACCACTAAAAGTTGATTAGGTATACTGTGGACTCCGCACTAGGCACACTTATATTGCGGAATTCTAAAAAATAATTGACAGATGGTATTAATTATCACAGATCAGTGAATAGAGTAGATTTAACATATCATAAGAGCCTGCAATACATTCACATGAATGAAAATATATTTTTTTAATTATTGAGACATTTAACACTACTCTACATTTCTGCTCAGCGTTTGTCCTCGGCATTGATATCAGTTAGCTCTTGCTTAAGGTAAATAATTATTTATAGAAATACAATGTATTATTAAGACTGCCAAGTTTATTACTATTATTGTCAAGTAATATTTCGATATTATACCTAATTGCCTTTCCTTGCACAACTATGTACGTTGTATATAAGTTAAATAGGGTAAATAACTCAAAAAATCTTAGTGTGTAAATTTATATTTGTACCAGACTCTTAGCTTACAGAAATATCAATAACTAAACTTGCCTCTGTCACGTTGAATTCCAATATACGCAGCGAAAAATAAGCATTCAATTATTGCCTTCAGGACGACGATGTTTCTGATACCTCTGACTAGCCCAGATGGGATAACTGCCATGAAGGTATTATTCAAATTACCCAACATGTTCTCTTAAGGACAGTACTGGTTATAATAACAGTAAGCATCTAGATTTAACAATGACTTGATTGTGTAACGTTTATTGTTTAACTTTAACGATAACTCTCAAAGGCCATGAAACCGGATTAAATAAGTTAGTTTATTTTTAGCGAGTAGAATGGCAAAAAAACACTACGGTCCATTAGATAAAAAGTGGGAATATACGAGTATGTATATACATAATGAAGGCATCGGTGGTCAAGCGGTTTTATTCTGATGGTCGCGGGTTCGGTTTCTAACACGGTGCAAACATTAGTATTTGTGAGTATGATTGTTTGTATCGGTCTGGGTGTATTCTATGTATATAATGTACGTATTAAAAAAAAACTAAGTATTTATATAAGTTGTCTGGTACCCATAACACAAGCTCTGCTTAGCTTGCGACTGAAGATGGCTGTGTGAATTGTCCTGAGATATTATTATTATTAATAATAATGTCGTATATACATTACGTCATTATAGTACGTGGTAATGTAGTCATTCCGGAGGACTCATGTCATACCTTCGCACCCTATAATTTCACACCTGATTCTCATCATCCAACTGAAACACAGCTTACAAATTCTGCTACATAGAGCCTGAAATATATGAGACAAAATTCAACCTATATTAATATTTTCTTGTTGTTGAAAATATACGAGTTCTGAAAATAACCTAAAATGTGTCCTTTGTTGTAAACTTGACTTAGATTTCATCACGCATATGTTAGATAAAACGCGAGTTTTGTTGCAAATAACCTATAAGTAGGTCAAATCAACACGTAACTGTATCTATTTATTATTTATTTGCCCTTTACTTCGTATAGTTAACAATTAAATATAATTCAAATAACTAAAAGGTCTTTGTTTTCATTGTACATATATAATATGTATACTACAGTATAATTTTAAAAGTTTATTTGAAAATCTTGAATTGCTCTTTCAAATTCTTAATATTGCCTCTGTTCATTTACTTAACATATTATATAAGAAAATAGCGGTCCTATGCACTATGCTATATTTCTGTATCTTATGCATTTTAGTATATCAAGTATAGAAGAGAGCTAGGAGTTCGCTTGTTACCTATATAAGTTATACAGCTTCAACCTTCATCGAGTCTACACAAGAACAGAGAATGACAAATCTTGTATAGATACAATTAATGCACCCTCATGCAAAAGTTATGCAAGTTTATCACCATAAGTCACCACGCTGGTCAGGTGAGTTAGAAAAAATGAAATATCCCATAAAATAGATACATACTTATACATGCGCATTTCAAAAGAATTTTCCTTAACGCCTTGTCGCACTGCTATATGTATGTAATATTATGTTATCTGTGCTACTACTATAATATACTATATGATACTATGAGATGCAAATGCTGCATCCGGCCGGTTTTTATTCTGCTTCTTCAATCGCTTTAGGTCTAGGTCTTATAAGAAATCGTATATATATAAAATATCGTATTCTAATTTACTTTTGAGTATTAAAAAGTTTCCGAGGACATGGCAGTGCAAAGTGAAATGAATGAGCCATACCTAATTATTTCACGGTCATACACCTCAAATCATAACACTGATTGCCCTGGTCATGATGAGATCACTGACGACACAGTGTAGGCACCCAACCTGTGCTGCCAGTGGCGCTTTTCATTACTTCACACCTTCTTATTTGTTTACGACGACACACTTTCCATCAAATATGTCATCAGTCTGTTTACTTATTCAATCGAAAAATATAATAAAAGTCAATAAGTAACTACTTATGGTTTTTTTATATATTTTTTGTGTATCTGATTTCATCATTAAAATTTTCGTAAATACGAGATGTAATCACGCTTGAATTATTTCACAAACTGAATCGAATTGGATAGAACAAAATGACAACAAAAAATTAAAGGAAAACGGATGTTAGAACACGTTATGGGAAACACAAAAAGTCAAGGTTGTTAAAATTAAGTACATACATAAGTATTATATTTACAGATATACAAAATCAGTAGCGTGTCTACCTTTCACCATGTACGAACACGGGAAATAGTCGGATTAAGACGTAAGACAAAGCATAGTGTATCGTGGTCACTTCTCGCATCTATTCGCTAGCTGCATGATTATTAACAACTGCAATTACATGATAAGGTTCATTAGTTTATACTCCAGCGGCCGTATGTACGTATGTTTGCTGAGTGCAACTTTTATACTCATATCCTTTATTTAAGCCGAGTAACGGCAATTCGTAACACTTGTTTGATAACTTCAGTTCATATGAAAGTTTTAATACAAATTAGTGCTGACAGAAGCAATGAAGTTGGAATCTTATTTATTTATAATAGGTACGCATTTTATTTTTATGTATTATTATTTAGTGCATGTAAGAAATAGATCGATTGGTACTTGTCATTCGACAATACTCAAGCAGTATTTATGAGAGCGCATGCTCTAAGATACGGAAAATTCTTTATTTTACAAGTACAGTAAGTATTAATACGACTTTGCATAGTTTATATTCTGATAGTACACAATATAACCACGTCTTACTAATATTATAAACGCGAAAGTTTATGAAGATGGATGAATGGGTATTGGTTACTAAAACTACTAAACGGATTTCGATGAAACTTTACAGTTATAAAGCTTATACATAGTCTATAAATTTCATGTGGGTGAGACCGCGAGCACAGCTAGTTTAATTTAATGGGTATATTAATATCAAGAACACATGTTTTAAAATAGATATAAAAGCATATTCTCCACGTAATGATAAACGGAAATTGAGGTATCTGCCCACCAATCTAGACAAGTTAGGTCGTACGATAACTACTGAAAAAAAAAAAACAATTGCTAATGCTAGTTATTTCACTTTCATATAACTAAGCCCTACACTCATTGTAATCTCCACCATCAATGATTACTTCATAATTGTAAATAACTTCAATGCAATATTAAAATAACCGTTACTTATTATTATTGTAACTTAATAGGGAAATTCTTATTTAAAATATGTTAAAAAAATAATAATTTTCATATTGCCTTGTTGCCATGCATAATACCTTATTGTGTAACTTGTAAATATTTAAAATAAAAATCTACTTGAATCGATACTTATATCGATAAAAAAAAAATCTAGCACCGCCGCCTTGATAATGTAATAAGTCCATTACTACGATTTTATTTGACAGTTGTGACAGCTCATCACTGACATTAAACAAAGGAGCAAAAAACAAATTCATTGTTATCCTATCAATTTAAATAGATATTGAGTACGTTATCCGGATATGTAATAATTAGATCATTATTATTGATAGCATTACTTTTGCAATGCAAAAATTTCTTACACACGCTCATCTGCGAATTGTTATCATTTTTAGACAAAAACAATGAATATTTATAAAGTCATTATCAAATATGAGACTAATGTAAAGGGCCAATCCAATACTAGTATTTGTAGGGCAGACGAGGTTATTTTTAGATAAATTGATGACGTGATTCCATCATGTTCTTCTTTGGTCCCTTTCGACTGGTCCATAAAGGTATACTGTTTTATTAATTACGTTTGTATGAACCGTATACGGCATTAATCTGTTCTTAAACAATAACTTTAATATTTTCCAGCTATAGTCATGGGGAAAGATAGCACTGCACAAAACTTTAATTTGGAGAATTGGATGAGAGATTTACCAGCACAACTTAAGGATGTTCCTTTGATTTATTTAGCTATACCAGGTAATACATTTATATTAAGTGTTTTAATAATTACTTACTGATCATTATTTAATTTTATTTAAATTCTTACTAATTCTTTGTTTAGTCTTATTGCTTTTTGGGTATAAAATCAAGTGCCCTTTGTTCATTTTTATTAAAAGGGGTATAATCATATTTCAATTACTATTCTAAATTAACAATGTTATTTAATTTACATTACATTAAAAAAAATACAAGTCTTAATTAAGTATTTGTTAATTCTATGCAATGTTAATTTGTTAAATAATCTTGGTGATTGTGTACTAATATGCCCATTGTATTAAAAAAATAGAATAAGAATAAACAGACAGATAATAGCTTGACCACAGTTATAGCTGAAGGATAATTCCTGAATAACTCGATGTCTATAATAATAGAATTCACATGAAATATCATTTCACTACCCTTTCATTTAAAATTTAAAAATAGTGTTTCGTTTGTACTAACTACATTGAAACTCATGCAATGTTACGAATCATGCACATAATTTTTTTATATAAAACTTATCAGGCATCATGTAGTATAAATACCACATTAATTAAAATAATTTTGTCACTACTAAATCATTTGTATATGTACTAAATATCATTTGTAGGTAGTCATGACTCAATGACATATGGCATAACCCGTGCCAGCACCTTAGCTCCAGATGCAGAACCTATCCTGCACCGACTGTACCCTCTGTTCCGAGGTACTATCATACGCTGGACCATAACACAAGCTATTGATACTAAGCAACAGCTGCTCATTGGCATTAGGTATTAATACCATCTAAATAACGCTATGAAAACCATTAAATTTATTTTAATATTGTGCATATTTTTTAATAGTACAGGCGCTGAGAACACTACTTATATTGTAAATTACCCATTGTTACTTTACCTACATTTTTATTTTCAAAGATAAGCACAATATTATAAAATGTACATTTTAAGCTACAAAATGTAGTATTTAATAAACTGTTATTACAAGTGTATCCTGCATAATTACTTTTATTATAATGTCAACATTTTTTAATTCCTATGATAGCTTGTTTGTAATTACAGCTGTAAGAATATTTATTTATATTCTCATGTTCACCATTTCACCACCACATGTAACTTTCTTTGTGTTACAATTTGCAAATAACTTAATTTTAGTTATATGTCGCTCCTCTTGTGACATAATATAGTTATTCCCAATGTAACCGTTGATACATAAAGTCTGGTATAATTGCTTTTATTAAATATCAAATTAGTACTATAGCACTAATTTAAAACTAAAATATATATATTTTTTAATATTACAGATATTTTGATCTCCGTCTGGCAACTAAAAAGGATGAAAATCATTACTTCTTTACACATGGATTATATGCAGAGGAGATAAGTAAACCACTACAACAAATTAGGGATTTTGTTGATTCACATCCTGGAGAGGTACATAATTAATTTCAGTTATGTTTCTACATTGTAAAAACAGCATCAAATGTGTGGCTGTGTAATGAACAGTAAGAAAAACACCTGTAATAGGTAACAAAAACACCAGTAACAAACACAACATAGAGATATTTTAACTGCTGAACCAATCTGCCTTTCCATGAGTCTAATACATTTTTTACTCTTCTATCTACAATTATACAGGATTTACTTGTAATATTAGTCATTCTTTTTTTCCCATAATGTGTCTTTACTACATCTCAGAAGGAATTCTGTTTAATTGAAAAGTATATAAAAATTCTTTGCAAAAGAACAAATGAGTGAACAAAGAAGATACCTATAACAAATTTATTAATCATATAATTTATTGTCATAATTACAGGTAGTTATATTAGATCTCCAGCATTTTTATGGCTTCCAACCAGAGGATCATCAGAGACTAATGAGATATTTACTCAATATCTTTGGTGCTAAACTTATTCCACGACAAATTGATTTACAATCCATTACACTTAACTCCTTAAGTAGATTAAGACAGCAGGTATGTGTACTATATATGTATTTTATTTGATAATTTACAAATGGCTAGTCCCTGCCTTTGTATACAAAAAAACATTATTCAAGAATTTCACAAGAAGTACACACACCGTAAAAACACACTGTAAAAAGTGGTGTGCGTGGGTAAATCAGTCTTGCCTATTTCAGCCGCCAAAAAGCTTCATAAACTGTGTTTCGGTTAGACAGGATCCAGATTAGATTAGACAATAGTGAAATAATAGGATTTAAAACATGTGTGTCACTCAATATATAGTGGTTCTTATATATAGCCGAGTGTTCCCGCTTACGATCAGGAGAGACGTAAGCCTGTTTGTTATTCTAATTACATAACAAAGTCTTTAGTAGAATAGTTTAGAAAATGCTTGAAAATTAAATGCAATGAAATTATTTATTGCAATGAATATGGTACTTAATTATACAGATGGAGATGTACTTAGGTAGTCCTGACAATAATTAAATAAAAAAAATAATGTTAATTAATGGCATTAGTTAGTTTTTGAACTATTTAGAACATAGATCCGTAACTATAGTAGCTAATTTATTATAGACTGACAAGCATAAGTTTATTTTATACAATTTGCCAAGTTTCTTTAATTACTAAGTTCCATTCTAGGTAGTGGTAGTATACCGGAATCAATCAGTGAGTGCTATCAGTGAGTTTTGGCAATCGCAACTACTGCCGTCACCCTGGCCACAACAGGACCGAACTGCCGGTCTTGTCAACTTTTTACATAACATCACGAGGCGCCCTGGAATCGGATTCGTCCATCAGGCAGTATTGACACCAACCCCTAAGTTTATTATTCTGAGGTATGAACAACATGTTTTGACTAACTAGGACAAATATATTATATCGATTCTTTACGAAGTAAAATCTTTATTTCTCTGTTTATATCTTGTGTGCTTTCTATATTAGATACCATAGGAAATATTTAATGTATGTGTAATGTATTTTATGAACTTTTTATAGTATCTCATTAATTATATATAAAAAAAATTACACTCTGATATGAGCATACACGCATGCAGTTAGAGGCGTTGAGATCGTATAATAAGTATTAACCCGGAATAATTCATGCACAGTCATCTAGTCCGTACTAGACAACGGATAGCAACACTACAGTAGACTGTCTTGTAAATGCATACACAACATACATAGAAACCACCCTAGACCAATACAAAAAATCAGACTCATGAATACAAATGTTTGAAACTTGCGAGAATCCGAACCTGCGACCATCGGAATAAGGTGGTTTGCTAAACTACCAAAACCATATTAGGCAATTATAATCTTAATGCTATTTACTTTAAATTAAGACTTAGTTTTAAAATTCATATATATGAATATTTCAGATGGATATCAAATTTGCGCGAAAAATGCGCGGTGCCTGTGAAGAACGAGGTTCTACCAAAATTAACAGAGTTAGCACCTGGACCTCCATTAGCTAAAGGTGTGAACCAGTTCGCGCCTGTCAATGTGGTAATAGCAGATTTCGTAGACTTGGATAATGCGATATTTCCCAGAACTATCATAGAACTAAATTTAAAACTTTTAAGGAATACAGATCTAGTGTACCACAACTACGGTTAAGAATACTTGAACCATCGCTGCAACAGTTTGTACATAAGTGTACCTTCTAAAGATTCCAAGATTAGAAAGAGAACACTCAACCATTTATTTTATTATTACATTATTGTCAAATTCATATTTTGTTACTTAAATATTTTTATATTAATTTTACATATCCGTAGCTTTAAGAATTATAGTTATCCAGGATATATTCCACACGCATGTACCTGTAATTTTATCTACTTTTTTTGCCCTGTGATATTCGCGTTAAATATTTCATTATAGTGCCTTATATGAAATACATTTATGTTTTACTTTTATATTGTACTTAAGATTTACAGTAATACAGATAAGAAATAAACTATTGAACTTTTTAATTTATGTACTTGATTTAATTTTGTATTCACACAATTCATAGTTAAGATTTACCAAATATTTTATTACAGAAATCATCTAATTTTATTCTCTCACACAAATCTTTAAATGACCACTTACGTTTTTTTAAGTACGTGCCGCCATTATCCAATGCTGAAAATAATTTATCTGATAGCTCGTCGGATATTTCTATAATCTTGCATATTTTGTCTAACCGTGATAAGTCTTCTAACGAATTAGTCAAGTCAGTTATATGAATAACTTGAGATTTTCTTTCATTTATCTGAAAAGAATTCTCAGAATCAGTTGCACTGGTGCTATCCAGTTTATCATAAATATCTTGTTTAGTTCTACAGCTAACACCATTGCTTGCAACTGGCATTGTATTTTCGAGGTTAACACATCTTGACTTATGACTGGAAACAACAATAACAGGTTCAGGTGATATTCTGTTTAAGCTATCTATAATTTGTTTTTGCAGGGTTAAACTTTTATTGTCTTTGTACCTCTTTATTGTCAGAGACACATTTTCAACGTCCAACGGCTCTGATTTACTTATATCTATTTTCTGATGATCATCCAAATATATCACTATTTTATTTTCTATAGAGTCATGAATTTTAGCAACACTCATTGATTGATCTTTATTTTTCATATTATACGTCCGAGAGTCACTTTCTTCTATGCATTCATACTTATCTGAGTGTATATCAGTCTTACCCTGTATAGAGATATTACTATTGACTGTACAGATTTGATTATTCATATAATCATTTATTTCCATTTCTTCTCCTTGAACACTACATGGACTGAGAAAATTAGATAATTCGTTTAAATCGACTTCGATCTCACTCACTTCGTTTTTTTCGGGAGAAAAGAATCCACTGTCATTACTACTCCTTGTTTTGTAATTTACAATAGCATGACGTGATTCTTTGCTATTTGGCAATTTTCGGGTTTTATCTCTATTATTTTCAATAATAACAGACTGGATTTGCATAGATTGTAATAATCCATCTATTAAAGTATTGATAGTATTAGCCACTTCTTCCTTGAATTCATAATTCACAGGTTTTGAATACATATCTAATTCATTCGTTTCAACTTTATCATAAGCAAATGGACTTGTTTCATGAATATTTTCAATTACGGCAGACTGAATTTTTTTATATTTTGTACTCTTTAACTTAGTCATATCAAGAGCATTTGATGAAGCTATAGTGATATCCTTATTATCATTATTAATTAAACCGATATCATTAGTAGTTATAACAGATTCGTAATGACCAGAAATGTCGAGCACAGGATTTTTAACCATTTTAACTTTTATTAATTTGTTAGATGCATCAGTAGGCGTTATTTTTAATCTAGCTGTCTCAGTATTGTCTATTTTAGAAATATTTATAATAGATTTCTCGTCTAAAATTTTATCCTTACTATCAATTTTAATTTTGTTACTATTTGACTTTTTCAATAAATCTTCTGTAATGTTTACCATTCTAGAAAATTCTTTTTTAACCTTTTTTAAATGCTCATGTGCTTTTGAATTGTCGTTTCGTTTTAAAGTCAATGGTTGTGGAACAAAATCGGCGCAGGTATGAAAAACAGAGCTATTTTGACGTGTCGTGGATTTAAGCATCACATTATCATCATTCCATATTTTAAATAATTCCGTTCTTTTTTTGGTATCACGATAGTTTGATTCTGATTTGCCAGGTAAAGGCTTCTTCAAGAGAAGTGGTCTAGGTTGTGCCTTAGTTCTGAAACTTACGTTTTGACAAACACTCGTTAATACTTTCCGATTAACTTCTGAATTTTTATTACATTCTATTGATATTTCTTTTCCTAATTTATCCGTTTGTTGTGTCGCATTCTGTTTCTTTGAAGTTTTTTGTCTAACATACGTCATTTTACACCTTGGATCTGGTATTCTCAGTTGATTGTCAGAGAAAATTATAGAATCTATTACTCTGCAAGCATACGAATATTCGTTCTCATACCAACAAACAAGTTTATAAAAATTTGGTTTCAACTGTAGACTCGACCCAACATCTAAAATACAGGAATGGTTGTCTCCAATAAAATCTGAAGATACAGCTTCGTCGATTGATAATTTTATTATATTTTCCATAGATGTAGAACTCGCTTTGTCCACTTTTGTAACAATATCTTGTAATTTGGTGTCGGAACATAATCTAAAATAACATTATAATTTAATTCAGATTGTCGTGCAAGTATAAATTTACACATGCTTCAGTACTAATTATAATCCATCTACAGTTTATAGGATATAAAAGAATATCAGTTGCTACAACATTAAATTCGATAGAAAATATATCTTAGGTATAGTCTAGATATGATCTATCTGTATACCAAATATTCGAATGCATCCAATAGTTTTCATTTTACATGTATGAGATACAAAAATCTATTAATCCAAAACTTTCGTGTATACAATATTGTGGGATTATTACGTCCTAATGTATTGACATACAAACCTTAAACATTCATAGTTATACATACTGTTGACCAACTTTCTACTTTCTTGGGTAAGTTATTTAATATACAAGTGTCCAAAGTATAAGGCTTTCGGTTTGGTTTACTCTTTACAATCACCTTTTATTAAAGTTGAGTATTTTAAGATATTTTGACCTATTAAACATTAGTAGCAACCCGCCCAGCATTGCACGAGTATTTTAACATAAAACCTTCCTCAGAAATCACTCTGTTGGTAGATGAAACCGCCTGCAAATCCGTTCCGTAGTGTTTGAGATTATCATAAATATATCTACGGACGCGGCGGGGATATTTTATAATACTATATGTATAGATTATAATTACCGTATAGTAAGATCCAGTATAGAGACGTTCACTATTGGAACTCTGAATGCCAAGCCAGAAAGCTTATCCTTTACTTGAGGCATAATTTTGCCAAGTGCTTTGCAAGCTCCAGTCGCGGCTGGTATTATGTTCTGAAGAATACTCCTATGATCACGCCAGTGCTATAAAATAGTAATTATCCATAATTTTGGCACAGTTGTTGATTTGTGGGAGTCTAATTTATGTAATTACGAGTAAGTATTGAAGAATTAGTTTTATTAACTTAGTAATACCTACAAGCAAAACACAATAACAGAAATGAACAAACCAATTTTACCTAATTAATATATTTAAGTACTCATACGAACACAGGAAATATAGCCCTAATACGTTAAGTTATAAGTTGACAAATAAAATCAAAATATGTTTATTAATGTGTAACAGACTCGTGTAATATATCAAATCTACCGTCGTCAGTTTGGAGTGCTTATTCTTTTTAAATGAACTTGTCTAATTACAATAATACACATTCAATTAGAGAGAATGTAGTGACCACCAGCATATGCTATTGCAATATTGTCAAAAGCAAATAATTTAATCAATAGCCGTAACCCGAAGAGAGTCACATTCAGGCCGTTCGAATTATAAAATATACTATTTTTATATTTGCCGAATTGAGAATAGAATCCATTGCAGATTAACAATCGTTATTCAAAAAAATATAACTACTGTGTAGATACAAGTGTTTACCTTGCCTCGTAAACATATTCCATCTAAAGGTTTCAGCGATGGAGTCATGGCGTGGATACTGGTAATGAATCCTTCACTTACTCCGAAATTGTCATCTAAGACTTTAATTATAGGAGCTAGACAATATAGGGTACTTGAAGCACATGATATTACTTTGTGTTCTGTAATTATTAAAAAAAACTCAATTATCTAGTAAAGCATCTAACATAACTAAAATGTAAAATAATAGCGACTTCCAAAAACAAAGTTCTGAATTTGACTAACTGTCTTATTTAATTAAAATTCTTTATTACACAATAGTATCGTCAATTCTCAATGTATTATGTATACGTATTTGATGTTGTCAGATTTTATTTACATTTTTTTTTTTTATAAAGCAATATCATAATTACTAAGCTTAAATATTTAGATACAGGCCCTACGTAATTGTTTGTATTATCGAACAAATGTGTATGGAAATATTAATGTTTCTTAATGTTACCAGAAAGAATTTTATTTTCATTGACCCCAAGTATTAACATTGGCACGTCCACGCTGGGGGCTGTTACGATCACTCGCTTCACGCCATTACTCGCTAAATGACCCTTGGAAAAGAATATAGTCTGTTTATTTTTTTATTTTTATATGAAATGGTGTATACTGTTCTGTATGGCAAGTGGTAACCGTCACATATATACACGACAGCAACACCGAATATCCAGACATCCAAAAACATTCCCAAACATCCAATCTCACAAACTTTATCTACTGGTTTATAATATTAATATAGATTTAGTTAGCGACCTACCGATGCCTTTTCCAAATTAGTAAACATTCCAGATGCTTCTACAACATATTGCACTCCGGCTGTTAGCCACTGCACATTTGAAGGTAATTTCTCGTGAAAAACTTTAATAACGTGATCTATAACAAAAATCGACAGTCAGAAGTCAAAAATCTAGGTTTACAATATTACAATAGGTCATAAAAATTTAAAATTCCAAAAATATGGGTCATACCACTGTTTATTTAATAGTTTTGACGAGACTAGCTAATAACAAAAAAACAACAATAAATAGCATGCGGTATTTTGAATCCAACGTGGCAGAGAGCCTACCACTGTTTCAAGGATTAATTTTTGGTTTGATATCGGTGTTTCCTTTAACGGAGAGTAAGTCAGGAATATAAATTGTTAGTTTTTTTTTTGGTGTCGACTAGATTTGAACTCTGGTCCTCTTGGATGTAATTCAGGGAAAATCTCTACGTACTCTCTCTAGACACGACGTTCCTATTATACACCGAATTACTTTATGCAGGTACCGAATTAAAATATGTATCTTTCAGACGTTATAGGTAGATTAGAAATGAGCCTTTAATCGAACATCACACAGCGCAATCTAATTCCAAATTATCAATGCTTGCACTTGTTTAAAAAAAAACAATGTCTTCTACTATGCGTTCTAAAAATCTGTTAAACAATTATAAAACAGAACAATAACAACTATAACTCATGAATAAAACTGCTTTTTTTGTAAGAACATAGAAGCAGTGACCATAAACAGGTACGGCAGGTTGGTAAACTTCTAGAACAGCAAGGTCCTTAATTTTTTTTAACTAACTCTGTTGCACATTATTCTATTTTTCTTTTTAACTATATTTATTACAGATTATATTCGATATTCGAGTTATTAACTAGAAACATTTTTTTCTTAATTTGTGACTTCTATGTTTTTTCAGTTAAAAACTACTTGGTAAAAACAAAAACAATTAATCACTCGATAAAAGCATGAGTTGATAAGATTCATGGAATACTTAGACTTACGTACGTACATGAAAAGATTAAGAATACATAATACATAACTGACTTCCAAAACATTAACAATGTATAGCTAGCTTCTAAAAAACTACTTGAGTGCGTGATAAGCAATTATATATGACGCATTCTATATTTAGGAGTTAGTATAGATGAATATTCGCGTTTATCTACACAAACCATTAAAAACTATAATCTCATTGTTTTTATGTGTAACACTGCCGTTGAATTTTCCATGTGTGGAGTCAAATTTAATCAAATAGCAGATGTAATCAATGTCGATAGCAGGATCGTTAATTGCTGTTATCTAAAAATCATTAAAAAAATTACAAGGTCACGTAAAGGACATACTATTAGACATATAATAAATAACTCCTAAAGACTATCAATATATCGTTACAGTTTTTACCGAGGAAATCATCTGCCAATCTTAGAAGACAGTATTACTAAAATATTTACACCAACCTGTACAGTCGAGTTTTGTATACAAGCCCTAAATATCACTCGACCAATTCGGCCGAAACCATTTATACCTACTTTTATAGGCATTCCTAATTAACATGAACCTTATTTAGTGTAGAAATCACATTGCTTAATTTTCTCTAAGTCTAATGACATTTTGAATAAACCGCGCTATCAGACGCCATATTGTAGTCAAAACCATAGACGTTTTTTTTTAATTTTATGTACCAGTGTTACTCTTGTAAATTATTTTTTATGCTGTCGACACAGCAGGAGATGAAAAGAATAAATGAAACAAAATAGCAAAGATATTGTAGGGTATTGTTCACTGAGTATTGTTTTTAAGTAAAATGGTTTCATTGACTTATGTACATAATAGAGTACCGTATTAGTACCCCATATAAAGTTAACAACATCTGCAGCTCCCATAAACAAAATTATTGTTGCTATTTTCTTATACAATCTCAGAATATCCTGACCGATATTTTCTGAAATATCTATTTAATACTAATTTTTAAGTAATCGTTAGGTAAGTGCAGTTTATTTTATGTATACATTACTTAGAAAACGTTGGCATATGGTATCTTGCCCAACCCAGACCAAATTAAGATCGGTCAGAGGTCAAAGATAACACGCTGTTTATATAACGAATGCAATCTCTACAAAACATAGAATAAAATATGTTTTATTTAAGCACAGAGGTGTATAATCCTCTATAATATAATATAAAGTATGGGCAATTTCCATTGTGACAATGCAAATTACCCATATAAATATGACGAGACGATATATGATAGGTAGAGACGAGGATAAGGTAGGTAGGATGAGAATTTGACATCACTGAATATCAGTAGCATTATCCAATAGATTTAAGTAAAGAACGTTTTAACTTAAACGCCAATTATGTTTCATATGAGATGTATTGTAATTATGAGAATAAATAAAAACTGTTATGTTAAACTACGAAAAAATGTAACAGTAAAAGAATATTATTTTTACCGTTCTTTTACTGTTAAAATTAAAAATCATTATCATTAATAAAAATAACATTAAGTGATTTATCATTTCCAATATATGATATTAAGAATATTTTATCCTTATGATATGTAATTCCTTTACAAAGTAATTCTGTCGTGAAAAACAATGCAGTCATGTCAAAAATTATTTGTAACCAATAATACATAAACTGAGTTTCCGCATGCTAACTCCAGTTGTGTAACTCGATTTCAATTCGAATTCAACCGAATCTTATATTTTCTGATTAGTTACAGTTTGACTAAAATTAATTAACCATTAAGTATACCTTTGTTTTTATATTAATATCTATATTTTTTGTGAGTACACTATACTTACAAAAAAAATAGATTTTAATATAATAATAAATTGTAATAAGTCGGAATTAAATTGAATTTGAAAACACTGTTATCTCGCCTTAATTATTATGTAAGGACATAATTCTAAATTATAATTGATTAAAGACACATTTTTAATTAATTTTTATTTTAAGTTCCGCAATGCACGATCTATTTTGTTAGTTCGTTAAATATTCGTATTGGCTAGTTATGATAGCCGTTCGCAAATATTTCAATGACCTACCTACTTAAAAAATACACTGATCCTTTGTTTTTTTATATGCTCTTTGATAAACACTTGGGAACATATCTAAAGGTTACTTAAGGTTACTGTTCAATAAAATACTTTTATTCTATCTTTATTACTTAAAGAGAAAAATAGGGATTTAGACGTAGTTAATAATTATTTATTTTAATTGTTTTTTTATTCCTGTGATATTTTTCTCCAGATCGTAAGTTATATTTATAATATTGTTTAGTTCATTATAGTAATCGTTTTGAGTAGTCAAGATACCTACTTATATATAATTACTAAAACATAATTATATAGTAAAATCTATATAATTCTTACATAGGTATAATTTAGAATGGCTCTTTGTGGTTTTAAGATTCTAATTGCTACTTCAAGCTAATGTGTGTCTGCTTATTAATTTGGCATTTTTATTTACCGAGATCGACTTTTCCAAAAAAGTCGTTTGCGTAGGTTCCTCTTATTTTACCTATCCTCCGTCTTGGTGAAATTGGATAGATATATCCAATAAATCCAATGTATCTGATATATATGGATTGAACAGGGTCTTGTTTGTCCTTGAAATCTGTCTTACCTATTTCGACCGATAAGCAGCCTACAGTAAGCTGTGTTTCGGTTGAAGGGTGAGATAAGGGAGTAAAATTACAGGCTATGAAGTAATGACATCTTTAGAATGGCAACGAAGAAGTAGTACCACGAGCATAATCTGAAAACGTTTGTCCTTAGTTCTATTAATGTATATAGGCGTTGCGTATAGTTGTGATGGCGTAGCGTTGTCGTAGAGACAGAGTAATTATATTGTTACACCTCGACCAAACTCAACTCTAATTACTCCTCTCCATCATAAGGTTGCCTGAAAGAAATCGCTTTTCAACGATAAGTTCGCCCACTGTTGCTTCTTTGTCTTGCTTATTGCTGTATGTTTATATACATATTTATGTATTTGTATATAATAGTGTATATAAATATATGTTTTTTTATGTGACACTAACAATAAAGAATTTTCTTTTCATTTTGTATTGTAATAAGTTATACATAATTTTATACAGTTGTACAGCTTCTTTATACCCAACCTAATATGGTCCGCATATTTAATATACAAAGAATTAAGGAATTAAGTGAAATTATTTTATACAGAGTAAGCCATATTTTCTATCTAATATTTACAATTTTAAAACATTTTACAGGAAATGTCGAAAATTGGAATCAATGGATTTGGCCGCATTGGCCGATTAGTTCTCCGTGCTTCTATAGCAAAAGGAGCTCAGGTAGTTGCAATAAACGACCCTTTTATTGATCTGGACTATATGGTTTATCTTTTTAAATACGACTCTACACATGGTCGCTTTAACGGTACGGTCGTTGCACAGAATGGTCAACTGATAATTAATGGAAACAGAATAACAGTCTTTTCCGAAAGAGATCCCAAGGCAATTCCATGGAAAAGTGCTGGTGCTGAGTATATTGTAGAATCAACAGGTGTTTTCACCACTATAGACAAAGCTTCAGCTCACTTACAAGGTGGCGCTAAAAAAGTTATTATATCCGCACCAAGCGCGGATGCTCCAATGTTTGTAGTTGGTGTAAACCTTGAGGCTTACAATCCTTCATATAAAGTTATTTCCAATGCTTCTTGCACAACCAACTGCTTGGCACCCCTTGCAAAGGTCATTCATGACAACTTTGAAATAGTTGAGGGGTTAATGACAACTGTTCACGCTACCACAGCCACACAGAAAACAGTTGATGGTCCATCAGGTAAGCTCTGGCGTGATGGCCGTGGTGCTCAGCAAAATATCATTCCTGCAGCCACTGGAGCTGCAAAAGCTGTTGGTAAAGTAATTCCAGCCCTTAATGGTAAACTTACTGGAATGGCCTTCCGAGTACCGGTACCTAACGTATCTGTTGTTGATCTTACTGTTCGTCTTGGTAAGCCAGCTACTTACGAAGCTATCAAACAAAAAGTTAAGCAAGCTGCTGAAGGTCCACTAAAAGGCATTCTTGGATACATAGAAGATGAAATAGTTTCTTCTGATTTTGTTGGAGACACACATTCATCTATTTTTGATGCTGCTGCTGGTATCTCCCTGAATGATAAATTTGTGAAGCTTATTAGCTGGTATGACAATGAATATGGCTATTCCAGCAGAGTTATTGATCTTATTAAGTACATCCAAACAAAGGATTAAAAACTAAAGATTTCTATAACGAAATAGCTTGATGATATTTTTCATACATCTACGTACATTATCATATTGTAGACAGAAATAAATTTTTCAGAAAACTACATAAAATACATTTAATTTAATATTTATTTATAAAATAGATATTTAATAATATCTTTAAAATAAATGTAATAAAAACGATAGAAAAAAGCAACCGAATTTTTATTCATCTAGTTCAGCGTGATTCATTAAACTCTACATTGTCTATGGCCGCCCCACCTTATCTATCTGTCCTTCACTGTCCTTCACAGTCATACGTGACGTTAACAGAGAAAGAAAGTCAAACGAAAGTGACATTCTTGTCAAGCAATTATAATTTATTTCAAAATTGTGCTTCAAGAAGAGAAGTACTACGAGCATTTCATTTTAAATAAATTTTATTTCAATAATATTATCCGGTGAGTTCAATTCTAATTATTTAATGGACATTCCAAGCTTTTAATAATCCTAACTCTACAGTTTTAATAATTGAGTTGCATGCGGCCGGTTAATTTATGTATTGAAATTTGTCTGTATTTATGTTAAAACATAATTTTTCAATCTAAATTTTACAGCTAAATCTCTTAAATTAGTTAGTTATAAATTATCACTCTGTTCTATATTGAAATACTAGCAAATATTTAATATTTTGTATGTATTTTGTGTGACCTCTAAGTGACCTCCATGCGCCGGTAATTTTGATCTTACTTTCACTAAATGAAGTATTAATGTTAAAGATTCTTTTAAATCGAAAGTACAGAAAGGAAAGTTGCGATTATTAAGAAATTATAAGTAACAATATGTATGTGCGCAATGAAATGTTATGAAATAACTTAATTGTTACGTGTGTACGTGTTCACCTTTGCCGACATTGCCCCAATATACCCCCATTATTTTATAAAATATTAAAGTTTAATAAAACTATTTTAGATATACCTTAGTCCTTTGCATTTGAAATATTATATTATTTTAAAAGAAACATACAAATTACCTTCTTATTCATAAAAACATTAAATTGCCAAGTGATATAAGTCACTTGGCAACCTGTTCTAGTTATTGTACTGTGTTCTTTTATTGTTTGTTAGGAATTATTTTCCTTATTTTAAAATGTTGATGAAAATAATTTCATCACACTTTACACACATTTATCAATGTCCACCAGCCAAATTAAATAAATCTGATCATTGTGGTTTTCTAAAAATGAAGAATAGTGGTGGATAGAAATCTGACCACTTAATGCTTTTTATTTAATTCCGCTTATGGATACAATATCATGATCATGTTACTAATTATTTTTTGTTATTTTATGATTTTTATACATCATCCAAAATAATTGTTTGTCATTGTTACTTGAATAAGTGTATAAATGACAATGAGAGCCTCGGTGACATAGTGGTTAAGCACACCACTTTACTTCCGATGGTTGAGGATTCTATTCCTCACACAAACGGTGCAAATGTTTGTATTCATGAGTATGATTGTTTGTATTGGTCTGGATATTTTCTATGGAATTACAAAAAAAAAATCGAAGTTATTATATCAGTTGTCTATTACTCCTAACACAAGCTCTGCTTACCATGGGACTAGATGGTGCTGTGTCAATTGTCTAGAAACAAAATATTTTTAAAATGCTAAGACTGTAAATGCCATAACTAAATCATATGCTATAGTACAATAATAATAATAATATCATTAAATTCCATCCATTATTTTCTCAAGATATCAGAACATTATAAACACTTTTATGGGATTTAATTTTAATAAATAGCCAGCAATCATATTAATACTATATAGAATCTGTAGTAGTTGCTGTAAAAAGGTTTCCAGGTTTTAGTTTCTGTGATTATGGGAATTGGAAGGCATTAAATAGTTATAAAAACTTGAATTCAAAACAAGCTGTAGCTTGTACATGGCACTGCACTGGAAAGCAAGATTTTGTTAAATTAGAATAACAATTTGCATACCCAATATATATATATTTACTTATACTATACTTTATATACCATATGTATATGATATTTACTATAGAAAGCAGATTTTATTATGAAATTGTACTAAAAAAATACCCTTCTTAGTATGTGTATAATAGTGACAATGAGTATTAGATCCTAACCCACAAATAATGAAACCTATAATCTGTAGGCTTTGGTACATAACACTTCAAAACCTTGTAATCTCACTGCCTTATCTAAGCCTTCAAAAAGCCACTTACTGTTATAGAGCTGCATGAAGTTGTTTAATATTTTATGTACTAAATACATTTCAATTACTTATTTAAACAATAAATTAATTTATATATTTATTTACTGTTAGATAGTGTAGGTAAAAATAATTAAGTAAATAACTTATCAAAAAATCGAAACCTACTGTAATTAATTGTATCTATCAATTAACAAAGGATAGGTAAACCAAAATTGATAAGATTAGATAAGGATATAAAAAACAATATTTTTTACTAAATATCAATTATCCGAAAAGAGGTCATACATCATACTTGATGTTATTTTCCCACCCTTTGTCTACAATAACATAGAATGTGCATATTGCCACAAATATTTACTCATGAAAGCATAACATACCATTTGATTCCAACAAAATAATATTACTAAAATATTTTTCCACTAATATTTAATGGAATAATCTGAGGCATTGTCTTTGTTGGACTACCTGTAACTATGTAACATTCAAATATACTAATGCTATGTGAACATGTCTAGTGTTATGTTCAACACATTAATGGTTAATAATGATTACACTACCTAGAATTAAAACTATGAAGATGCTTATTTGATAGTCTTATATATTTATTTTTTACAGGTAACATGTCGAAGATTGGCATCAATGGATTTGGCCGTATTGGTCGCTTGGTTCTGCGTGCTGCCATTGAAAAAGGAGCTCAAGTAGTTGCTATCAATGACCCCTTCATTGGCTTAGACTATATGGTCTATCTCTTTAAGTATGATTCTACACATGGACGCTTCAGAGGAACTGTAGATGCTCAGGATGGCCAACTGATCGTTAATGGCAACAAAATAGCAGTCTTCTCTGAAAGGGATCCAAAGGCAATCCCTTGGGGCAAGGCTGGTGCTGAGTATGTAGTGGAGTCTACTGGCGTTTTCACAACTACAGAGAAGGCATCAGCCCACATAGAAGGAGGAGCTAAGAAAGTAATTATCTCTGCTCCTAGCGCTGATGCACCCATGTATGTTGTTGGTGTCAATCTTGATGCTTACGATCCATCTGCTAAAGTTATTTCCAACGCCTCCTGTACAACCAACTGTCTAGCTCCTCTAGCTAAGGTTATTCATGACAACTTCGAAATTGTTGAAGGTCTTATGACCACTGTTCATGCGACAACTGCTACTCAGAAGACAGTAGATGGACCCTCCGGCAAATTGTGGCGTGACGGCCGCGGTGCCCAGCAAAATATTATTCCAGCTTCGACTGGTGCTGCTAAAGCTGTTGGTAAAGTTATTCCTGCTCTTAATGGCAAATTAACTGGTATGGCCTTCCGCGTACCTGTTGCAAATGTATCAGTTGTGGATCTGACAGTCCGTCTTGGCAAACCAGCGTCTTATGAAGCAATTAAACAAAAGATCAAGGAAGCCGCCAATGGTCCCCTCAAAGGCGTTCTTGGATATACTGAAGAACAAGTGGTATCTTCTGATTTTATTGGCGATTCTCACTCATCCATTTTCGATGCTGCTGCAGGTATCTCTTTGAATGATAACTTCGTGAAGCTTATCAGTTGGTATGATAATGAATATGGCTACTCCAGCCGAGTCATTGACCTCATCAAATACATCCAAACTAAAGATTAATTTGGATTTTAGAATATAGAATTACATATATGATTATTATTCTTTTTTATTGCTCTATATATAATTTATGTTTAAGTGTAACTGTATAATCTAAAGTTTTACTACTACTTTGACAGTAGTGTATGAAAGAAATGTATGTACCTAACCTGTAATAAATGATCGTACCGGCAGAAACTATATCGTGTATTATTTATAGTTTCTTGTTATAAAAAAATATATCTAATGAATATAATATTAAGTGAAAAATTGTTTGTTTAGTGCATACAGTAAACTAAAATAATATATTAGTAACAAGTTACGAGTGTGTTATTTAAATTCCTTACTTGAATAATTATCTTAATTAATTTGTGTTCCTAAAGAACAGAGACCGAAAATCATGGAAGATGTGCATAATAAATGATCGTACCGGCAGAAACTTATTACGATATGTATGTACATGAGGCATACAAAAAATCGATAATACATTATTTATTTTTAATATGACAACACTTCATACATCATTTTTAATTTACTTAAAAATTTTTTATATGGAAAACATTTAATTAGGCTCACGTAGCATGTCACATATGACTATGCTACGTACCAATCACGATAGTAGTTAATGACAAAAAAAAACTATCAAAAAGGTTGCCATCGGCAACATAGCTGACAACCGCACCAGCCTATTTTTTGAACGTCGACGACACGTACACCCCCATCGTAGCCAGGATGGACCGCCGAAACTCTGCCTCTAAGCCTGTCCGACGCGTAGGGGACTAGAATTTCTAGACTGACATCAAAACTCAGTCCTTGATCTATTTTTTAAGCCAACGCATCCAGCTTTCTCCACTGACAAGAGAAAGTGCATTGGTGTTAATGCTTCTTCTGAGCCTGGTTGATCAGAGATATGTGTCAAGGGACGTGAGTTCCTCTAAAGGAGAGTTATCAGCATCTATTTTTGTCAGTCTGTTACTGTGTTGTTTTTTCAATCACCTGTTTCAGGAGATGTTAAATTCGATCTAACTAGAAATAAACCATCAGGCTACGCACGGTGCCCTTTAAGAAGGCTATAGTTTTAGCTAGATGTAATCTGCCTACACAACAACCTAGTTAATCACATTGATTAATTAGCTCGCCCACAATCCCATAAGGTTTATACTAAACAATCAATATTTTAAGAAATCAAATAGTAAGTGATAACAAACCCATGTCATCTACGTAAAAGATATGAAAATGTTAATTTAAAATGTCTCTCTAATTATTATTATCTATAGTACTATCAGATGGCAGAAAACATCATCGATCGTCCACCTCCACGCACTTTCTCCAGATACCAACCAACCACGATATGCCGAAGGTGGTATGCTCATCCTCTCGTCCTAAACTGGTGCCCCAACAACTTATATCGTTAACGAAGGCGGGTGCATCCATTTCATTATCAGATAGGTTCAGCCGATAGTTTAGTTTTTTTGATTGAACGGGCACCACTATACTACTATCATAAAAAAGTACTAATATTGGAATATTATTATGAGCAAGTAATCACTATAATTTTATATGTAAATAGATAACATAGAGTTAATTTATAGATAAAATAAAGTTGTTTTTTTTTAATATCGTTCTTGACATGGTAACCCCAAAATAATGGCCGCACGCACCTCAGGCAGCTGTCGCTGTCACTGACATTTCGTTTGCTTCGTGTAAATCTTGTGATGTACAAGTTTCAAGTCCGTCTATTTATCAATGAATAATGGTGTACATTAATAGATAATGGTTATTTTTATTGGATATTTTACTACAAACTAATAAACCTCTTTAGAAGTTTGTTTAATAGTGGTTGTTTTCTATAATGGAGGATCTCAATTTGACAGAAACCGAAATGAGATATTTCGGTGATTTGTTTTTGTGTTGTGACGAAGATTCCAACGGGAAAATACCGATTTTAAAAGCAACAGAGTTATTTAGATCGTCTAATGTACCTAATGAGATCCTTAAACAGGTAATAATCACTATCCAAAGGACGTACCAAATCAAGTAATCAGTAGATAATGAGGTATAAACATACTAATTTTGTTTGCAGATCATGGACATAAGTGTAGCACCTAACAATTGTGCGTCATTGAATCATATGAATAGGAAACAGTTTTATTCGGCCCTAAAATTAATAGCAGCTCATCAAACAAATGTGTCTCTAAAGCCTGAATTATTGTCTACTCCTCTTGATCTTCCATTACCAAGGTTTACATGGGCACTTAATTCTGAAGCAAGTGCTGACCTAATACAGTTATCAAGTTCACCTAAAGAGCAACATATTGTTAAACGAGAGAGAAATTTTGTTGGTAATATTGGTGCCTATGAACCTATACATGTTTCATCAAATCTGTCTGATAGTGATGTATCCCAAGTTTTATCTCTCGGTGCCACAGAAGCATTGAGCACAGACTCAGAAATGGAGTCAGAAACAATGTCACAAAGATCAGGAACTCATGGGGTAAGTTTCATTTGACAATAAATATTAAAATTTTGCTACTAATTGACATTTATTTATTATATATTTTTTTTAAACTTATGTTGAACTATTAATAATTATAATATAGAAATATTATAATTAGATAATAGTTAATGTTGTTATAATTAATGGTTCTTTTATGATTTAACTTTTATACTGATGTAATAGCATTAGGTTTACTATCAGTGTTAGATGGTCTCTATGATTCTAGTTCATGTAGATTCTAATGTTTTTTATGGATGATAATGGATTGTTGTACCTGCCTGCGCTAATGATTTACTCTGGGGGGCACCAGTGGAGGACTATAATATTAGCATAAGATCAGGTCAGTTAGCCCAATGTGACAAATTTACAAGTAATTTATCACAATGGTTTCCAAGTGGTATATGTATAGGTATGGTGGTTCCCATATGGTACTTATATGGAGGTCAATTTAACATAATATTATATATTGCTAGCAATAAAATCATCAATCCACATTAATAACAATTCTCTTCCCCCAAACTAATCCTATTAGGTTTTTTATGTAACTGAAAGGGAAGATGGAGACCATCCGATACCTGTGGTACCAATCAAGTCCTGCTATTCTGGAGGACTAAAATATAAAACCTCCATATCCTGTAATTTAATTGCCTTATTTTGCACTTGAAATTGTACTCCGCTTAAAAAGCAAGCTGCTTGGCAATTGATATAGGTGATAGGGAGATACCTATGTATTTGACTTTGACAGTTTAAGATAGTATTAATACATCATTGCCATCATAACAATATTATTATTCCACTGTATCTGTTTACATACTGTCCATTTCTTGTTTCCTGTTTTGGTTCTGTGGTATTTCACTTCAAAACTTTCAATTTCTATACTTTCATATTTGGGATGAAATTGGTGGTGACTGGTGATTATCAGTTAAGCTGGTGATAGTTTGCCACTTGCTTTCATTCTGCTCTTTTTGAACTTGGTTTGAATGAAACTAATATAATAATATCTCTTTATGTTATTTCTTACAGTTATTAAACAAACATACATTTTTATTGAAATATTGTGCATAAATTGTATAAATAGCTACAATAAAAACATTTCATATTACTGCTATTGTAATCTTTTTAGTTTGTCTTATTATTTAATTTAGTAAGCTAGATAAGGAACTGCCAAGATTGTTTACTGTATATTTATGTTATTACATAAATATATAGTAAATCATTTAATTACTTTACACATTATTATGTGTAAAGTAATAATTGTTTAAAATAAAATCAATATTAATATTTAATGATATATTTGTTATTTCTGTGTGGTAATAAATATGCCCTGTATGATTTGTATTTTAAACAACTACAACATTATGTTCAATAAATAGGATTTCACTTTTATGCATTATGAGTAAAAAAATGTTTCATTACATTTTTCAATTTATTTATTTAATTTTAATTCGGATTACATCCATATTGTGTTAGTAAAAACTTATAAAACTATGTTAGTAACTTATAATGTACATATACATAGATATATTTAATTCATATATCTGTGTCCACGTCCAGAAGCACTGGGTCCTCAATGCAACGTTATCCAGTGCCTTAATCATAAAACAGTTTTTAGGATGCTGTTTGAGCAGTGATGCATTTTTACGCATTATGGCTTCAAATATCTTAAACATCTCTTACAGAACCGAGGGAGCCCCAACAACATCCTAAACCCATTATTATACTGTATACGAAGAGCGTTGTATGCCCTCTGCGTATACCTAAACCATAGGCCGCACGTGTAAAACGACTGACAATACGCTTTAAACAATGTTGTCTTCACGTCGTTATTACACCGTGCAAACCTACGGGCCAGCATATTACATCATTACTACATTTACATCTACATATTACTACATTTACATCGGACCGACAACGCTCTTCGTTCCCTCTCTATGTCATAGTCATCATTCAAGTCCCCCGATACAATGTGATCCAGGTATTTAAACCGTGACACCCGATTCAATGGTGTGCCATAAAGACATACCGCCGGCATACTTCTCTGTGTGCTATTTTTGCCATGAAATATCAAATATCAATTACTTGTTTGTTCAGCATATTGTGAATATATTATTATTACGTCTTTTGTATAATACTTTTTTATGGCTGATGACTGAATGGTGTACCAGCCTGTGTTAATGATATATCCTGATCAGATACTAGTAAATTATGATTGGATGATCATGAGGCCAGGTCAGTTAGTTCATCATAGTGAATTCATCAGATTACAATGCCAATGGTTTCCAGAACATTGCTAGTAAAGTAGTCAGTAATTCGAAGTACTAACAATTCCTACTCCCAATAAGATATAATAGAAAATATCTCTTTATCAGCGAAGAGGAAAGGATGGATCACCATGGAGTACTGCAAGTGAGAGTCCAACACCTACAAACAGTGTGGCCGAGCAGGTCCATCCAGTGTGGGAGAACAGTGTGACAGGCCGCGGTGTGTGGCCAGCGAACACGGGGGAGGAACACGCGCAGCTATTAGGTAAGGATATACCTATTTACCACAATGTTTAATCAATAATATGAACTAAGTTATGTCTTTCACAATCTGATAATATATACTACAATAAAAGCCACTGAACAGACCTTGAAGTATGGAGGCTATATATGGGTAGTTCAGTTAGGGCAAGATAGTTCAGTTGTGGATCGATTATTACGACTAAATACCATTTTGTCGTAATATATCAGATATTATATTCTTATTACATTGTATCCTTATATTCGAATTACATTGTATTTAAAAATACTAGTTTAGTACTTGAAGTGCTTTAAATCTTAACTGAATTATGTATAATATATGCCCTATAATAAATTTTCCTCCTTAGGGACGTGTAGAGATGTCAGGGTGGTGGCAAAATATTTAAATTTGGAATGAAAAATTAATTTACTGCGTAAATCATAACATTAATTAATACTGTCAAGCTGAGTTTTCACGCTGATATTAGTTAAAATAATCTAGTTTACAATATATAAATATAGAAAAAAATACATGTACAATCTGAAAATTCTCTACAAAAGAAAAGTTTAAACAATGGAGACGAAATCTCTTCCAACCACAGACTTTAGCAACAAACACTTTGTCTCTTGTCAATATAACAATGTAGGAAAGTGTATATATTATAAAAAAATAACTGCATAATATTTGGAGTAATCATTACATACATTACTACCGATTAGAGTTAATTCCTGTTACCTACATTAAGTTAAATGATGAATAAGAGTAAGTACACACTGACTAGCAAAGAAATATTAAACTCTAAGATAACAAGGTAATAAAAAAGCAATGATTTCTCTGTTTGTTTCTTTACGTGCGTAATTACTTATCTCTTTCCATAAATAGGTCGCAATCTTTTATTTTCATTTAATGGTCAGAGTGGATGGGATTCCGAACATTGCATTCCAGATTTAAATAAATTACTTTATTTATTTTAAATTATATAATTGCCTGATGTGTTCTCTAAGAATGAGCCTTCGAGCTAGAAGAATTAAATAACACTGACATTGATTTTTCATCTCATTGTAGCGAAACATATTATATTTCTCTACAGTGAGATGATAATATGGTCTCTCCCCACGGTAGTAATCGTCAAAAATATTATAATCGGATGATTTCGACTAAAAATATTTTTTTACATCTTCTATGTTTCTATTTGTAAATTTTCTAAGGGTAGGAAAATATGTATTACATAAAGAAACCTATTAGCGTTTTTAATACGTCATATGCTATTAAAAAGTAAAAAAAAAAACTATCAAAATAGAAAGCAACAAACGTTTCCACCAAATGTTCTGTTGTTAATAATATTACTATGACAATTTACAAGTGTTCATAATATTGAGCATGACTGTATATTAAATTTCTTTACTCAAATACGAAATATTGCTAATTTGATACAGCGTGAAACAATTCATGCTCTCTCATTAGCATTACAATGATGTTAATTGGGCCTGTTATTCAGTCTAGTCTAGTTCATGATTACCTGACCTTTGTACAGATGTGGAAAATATACATCGCTCATAAAACATGCTGTGAAGTAGAGTTACCGAGGAAGTGGATCGTCACCTTGTTTACAAGTCGTGTAAAAAAAGTAATATAAAAGTTTTTCCAAATTACCTGCATTTTTTATATTGTTAGTTATATACTTGTATACTACGATAATAAAAGAATTTTATGTAATTGTATCATTCAATTATTAAAAACGTATAAAATTATTTACCCATAATAATACTAAAACTACCAAAGCATAAAATAACCGAACTGAGACAACCGGTTTTAAAGACCAATTTAAACAAAATTATATATTTGATTTTCTGAATGATATTTTTTTCTATGAAACTATTAATGATTTCATAGTATTTTTATAACATTTAAATTGGGCTATGATAATTAAATATATTTTACTAGTTTTTCTAACAAGAGATCTTAGACATATATTATTTTATATGGTACGTTGATATTCAGTGCTACTATAACGTTTTTAGAATAAAGCCAAATCTAAACAAAATATGAACAAAACTTCCTAGTGCCTATACAAAGGAACAAAGCATGTCATGATATTTAAACTTTAATATGTCACTTCCTGCTTAACACGTTTGTACTTCCTTTATCACGTAATTTAGGACTAATAGCATCTTGTTTGCATACACACGTGGTTTATTTTAGTGCAAATAATATTTAAAGAAAAAAGGACGCTGAATGGATTTTATAAAAAGATCCTTCTAAAAGTTGTTAAAATACAGAAAATAAGTAAATACTTTATTTAAAATTAATTGTAAAATATTTTTTCTATAGTTGCTATAAAAATTCTGTTAGTTATATATAGTTAGTATTTATATATGTATATAGTTTTGTAATTTCAATTTATTTTATCTATTTAAAATTTATTTATTACAGATTGTGGTTTTCAATAAATATTAATTACAGTTTGTTATCCTTCTGCCCTACCTCCCATCCAATGTTTACCTTTGTGTTATTTGTTGAATTATACCGGTTATAATATTCAGAACTTATTTTTTTTATTTCAGGTACAGAAGAAGAATCTTCCGACCGACATTCGTCTGAAGAGGAGGGTGACGGGGAGCCGGCAGAGGACATATGGCCGATCAGTGAAGCACAGGCAAACCACTACGCTGCTCAGTTCGCACAATTGCGGCCTGAGTGCGGCCTGCTCTCTGGTCATACTGCAAAGTGAGTATACAATTACATAGGTACTTATTTTATTAATCATTAGCTGTTCCGGCAAAAGTTGTTTTGCCATATAAACTTAAGTACTAATATCGCAATTAGAAAATAGCGGTTGGTGGTAGAAGGGTGAAAATTTTGGGTTGGATGTATTTTTTAATGCTAAATCATAAAAAATAAAAATAGAAAATATTATCCAAAAAATAAAATTAAAATGTTAGGGGTTGACAACTCTTATCACTTAGGTGTACGAAAAATAGATAGTATGCTACTGTAAATTCTTATAAAATTTCATAAAGATCGGTCAAGCCCTTTCGGAGGAGTATGGTAACTAACATTGTGAATTTTTGTGTATCAGATTTAATAATACAGATTGATAGATAAGTAACGTGATAGAAATTGTAAAAAGACGACTTTGTGTGATTACCTCTGACTCACTTATTTCAGCTGCAAAGATGAGATATTGTAATGGATGGATTGGAGATATGGATTTCATCGCCATTATACATGTTATAACCATTAAAACATCAAATTGTTGTAATTAAGACGTAATTTATGCTTTCATTATTAAGTTTAATACAATGGACACAATGTTTCAATGTGGTTCATAATAATGTACAGAAAACAAAGCAATAAATAGCCATTTGACACACAGATTCTCTAGAAAAGAAACAGAAAATGAAATGAATAGTAAAAAGATTTTATAACAGTTTTTGTCGAAGTTTACAGCAATCACAAGTTCTTATGCATCGAGGAAAATGGTTTATGTGTTGAAAAGTACATTATGAGCTGCCCACGGCCAGCCTGAAGGCGACCAACATTCTATTATCGTATAACTTTATAGCATATTGTCATTATCTATTTTGTGTCTATTATTATAATAATTCTTCATACATCTATTATCCAGTTTACATGCATTTAAAATTAATTATTGTGAATTTATATTTCAGATTATTTTTTGAGAAGTCACGATTATCAGTCCCCGATTTACGGAAAATTTGGCAGCTGTCTGACATTACTAAAGATGGTAAACTTACGTTGGAAGAGTTTAGCATAGCAATGCACCTGATTGTACTCAGGCGGAACAACATTCCCGTGCCCGATGTCCTGCCCGCCTGTCTCGTCCCGAAAGTCGACTCACGCTTCTCCCAGCAGGCCGTCACGACAGACCTGGTCGACTTAGGCTCTGATATGTTCAGTTCTGGCTCGTCGGCTGATTTTAGTTTCGTTCATAAACCAGAGACGAACGATCCCTACGAAAGTAAACCTGTCAAGAAGCCAGAAGATCGCCAACCATCACTATCACCTAGCAAACCCGAACCACAACTCAATAACAAGGAGTGGACTAAATTCGTCGACTCGCCCACGTCGAGTGTATCCAGCCCCGGTCCCAAACCGGTTAATTTCGATTTCCACAAGTCCGCCGTTGAGAGAGATCCGAAAATTTTCCACCCCGTTGCACTGAGGGTGACGCCCGACGCGAACACCCTGCCTCATGACGGGGATATGCGTTCCAGCACTTCGCCGCGGCGGGACGATTTCGCACACGCTTTCGAGCTCGCCAGCCCGAAGCGTCTGAACTCGCAGCCGCCGACCGAGCCGCCACCGAACGGCAACAGTGCAGAGATCAAATCTATTCAACGGCCGCAGCCAAAGAAACCTCTGAAGAACGCCGGCGTGCTACCACCGCCACCGGCGCGCGAGTCGTCAGTGCACGCCGACGACGGGCCACAGTCGCTACAGTATGCGCCGAAGAAGGAGCCCCCGCCGCCCCCTCCGCCGCGGCCGCTGCGCAACCACACGCGCTCCAGCTCCCTTGATCTGAACAGATTCAAAGGCGCGCCCGCGCCACCTCCTCAGCCACCGCCACGAATGTCCCCTTCGGCGACTTCGCCGCCGGCTCGGCGCGCGCTCGTCAACCAGCGTAGCGAGGGCGAGCCGGCATTCGCGGCTGATGCGTTCATACCCCGCGAGTACGAAGGCGAGGGCTTCGGTTACAACCGAGAGGACGCGCCCAAGATGCACGGCGCGTTTGAGGTGTACCGCAAGTCGCGGGAGTCATCGAGCGAGGCGGATCCGGACGCGAAGGCGCTGCAGGAGCAGAATGCGGTGCTGCACCGCGTGTGCCGGGCCTTGTGCGCCGAGTTGGCCGACGTGCAGCGCGAGCGGGAGGTGCTGCGGCATCGCCTCGACGCGCGCTCCACGCCCCTCTAGTCATCTTCGCGGCTTCCCCGCCCCGCATGGCCGCAAACTTCTACCCGAGCTGGACCCCGGTAACCCAATGACCGCTGCGATCACATGTACTTTTTGATTCTCACTTTTTGTGGCCGTTGTAGTAACTCGATTTGTGTAATCTCATGGTGAAAATTAATCATTTTTTTAATCTATATCGCTCGATACATCCCAGCAATAGAAGTAGATTTAATGTCATTGACGTAGTATGTATCAATTAAACAAGAAAGAAGATGAAATCACGTCAAGTTTATGTTTACTGTGATAAAATCTATATCAAAACAAATATCCAAAATATGTTTTGGCGAACATAGACATAGTTATGGACTATACAGTGTTAGGCTACGCCTATATTTCAGTAAAAGTGCTATTTCTTAGGACATCACTGGCCTTTTTTGGAACAAGCGGACACAACTAGCTTTTGCTGACCTATTGAAACAGTAATATGGAATGTTGGGAACTGTCGAGCGCAGTGATCATCCATATCACATTATTTCTTAATAATAGGCTATTGCAAAAACTTCGCCACTTTGGCGGACATTTGCTCATTTTGCAACGTGGCGAAGCTTTAAAACCAATAATGTGTCCACTTTGCAGTATTTTATTGTCATTTCATTTACTTATAGTAGCATCGTTGAGTGACAGTGTCATTTAATTTTGTTTGCATTTTATTATGTCATAAATATTATAATGTATGAGAAGTGTTACTTCATTAAGCGTCGATAATTATTAATAACAAACCTTTTTACATCCTACATATTTCCCACTAAGAAAGAAAGAATAAGACAATATTGCGTATATACAAAACTTTTGTAACCAAGTCAGGTATATTGTATATTTTACTAAAAATAAATCGAGTATTATTTTCTTGTCTTTGTCAGTTAGTATTATAATATTAGTGTGAATATTAGTTGGCAAGCACTGGAAATACTTTATTGGATGGTTGTGTTTAAAATATAATTTCGTTTTTAGATTTATACCAAGTACATACATATTAATTATATTTTCTTGTGACTATACAATAACATTGAATAATCTGTTTTATTTATAAATGTTTCCGTCTGAGACCGGCTCCGTCTGAAATAATACATTCAAATTTGTGATCTATCAAAATTATAAAGATATATAAACAGTTCGTTTATAAATGGGCGGCGCTAAAGTTGCTTGAATAGCATTCCTTATGTTTATTGTGTAATTTGTTTAATAATGTATGTTGTATAAAATATTTAAATTAAAAATGGAATACCACCATAAAGAATATTTTGTTTAAACATGTGAATGTTGTATAAATGAATTAGTGTTACGAATGTAAAAATGTCATGTTTAAGAACAGGAGAAGGAAGAAAGTAGAGAAATGAAAGTTTTGAGAGATGATAATGCGACTGTACTCATAAGTATGAAAATGAAGCCAGGCAAGGTTCGATTATCAAGCGCCATTTTCTAAACTTATTTCTAAAATAATTTGTTATAAAAATAAAATTTATACACTGACCGCTTGCACTTAGGTCACTAACGCAATAGTAATGCTATCTTTCTACTCGGTATTCACACAAATGCAAATCCGAATTATCAATTTTATGTGATACACTGAGGTCAAAAAACATCTAGAGCAGTATTATGTAGTGTTATGAAATTGCCGAGACATGTTATGGAATGCTTGGACTATTAGCTGTGGTATTACTAAAATTTTTGTGTTGTAGGAAAAATTATCCTAGAGCCCTTTTTGAACATGATTTTAATTACAAAAATGTAATGTAGATAGATTTGTTGAAATTATTATTCGCAAAATTATATTGTATAAATATTTTAAATTGTTTTTTTTTTACTCAAAATGCATTTTAAAGGAGTCATGATCGTGAAGTTGCGCGGGTCAGCTAGTACTCGTAATATATAAAATTGAACAAGTTTTTAGAAATATGTTTAGAAAACTGCAAGCCGGAATCGAGCCTTGTGTTATAAAGGTGAATGCCCATAATGTTTACAAATAAAAAATGAATTTGTGTGAACACACTTTGTATTATATAAGTATATTGTAAAAGTATTTATCTTTTATTTAGGTCGTATTAAGGATTATATACCTATTGAGCAGTCTACCATCGCTGTGTAAATATGATTTAACTATGTATCTCCTTACCATTACTCGGCCAGCGCTTGGTACCCCACTGATCTACATACTTTGGTCCAATTTTGTACTACTAAATTTCACCTATATTTACCTATTTATGTTTCATAAAATTTATACAGTACTGCTTAAATATTATTGTAGTAAATTATGTACAATAAATTTATTTCAAAACTTTAATGTTTTCTTTTATTAATGCTTACTTTTGTTTGCTAAATACATTTTAATTTTCTAATAAAAAACATTGTAAAAATATATATATAGGTCAAATAATTATTATAAAAATTAATAAACGTAAACGGATAATCAAGCAGGTACCCATACTATGAAGTTACAAGTATGTGTTATGTTATAAATGTGCACACATAAAATATAAATTATATTATGTAATGAATATATGTTCTTGCTACATTTAGTAATTGCTCATCGACTTATTTGTTAATAGAGGAATGGAATCAGTCTAATATCAAATCAAAAAGTCATATATAAAATTTCATTTTTATTTATTTTGCCTAGTTACTTGGTACGTACACCTATCTATTCAGAGAGATACCATCACGGTTATCAAAAAATCTATATTGGAAATAAGTCGTCCAATATATTATCGGCTTCCATGCGCGTATTTTAGAATCAACCCTATTGATAAGGCACGATAACGAGAGCAGTGAGCAATACAACGCGAGGACAGTTGCACGGCTAACGAGCGCCTAGCCGCCCGCCGGACTCGGACACCGGCTCCGGCAGGCCTCGCCCGATTGTCCACGAGCCCCGGGTACCCGCCACGGTCTCGTCAATTTCTCTCCTTCGCCTCTCGCGGGCTCTCGCCTCTCGGCCATACTGTAGCGCATACCTGCTCCTTTTTTTGTTTGTACTTCCCTCCGCCCCGCTCCGTCCGCGGGAGCCGCGCACCAACGCCACCAACACATCGTCTTGTGACGCGCTGTCGGACGCATGCACGTTACTCGGGCGCTTTTGCTGCGTCCGCGCGTAAATATTCACGCTTACAATGAGATCTTTCATATAACGCCGAACACAATCTATCAATATGAAGTGCTTCGCCGCGATCCTTTTGACCGTAACCTTTGTGACTGGTGCCGCCTCCGAGGCCTCTGTGCGGACATGTGAACCTATAAAAGTGGCTATGTGCAAGAATATCGGTTACAATCAAACGGGTATGCCCAACTTGGCTCGACATACCCTACAAGCAGATGCCGATGTGACTTTGCAGACGTTTACACCCCTAGTACAGTACGGGTGCTCACCCCAGCTGGATTTGTTTCTGTGTACAGTTTATGTGCCCATGTGTACAGATAAAGTGGCCTTACCAATCGGACCATGTAGAGGACTATGTGAGAGCGTATACGCCAGATGTTATCCAGTGCTTAGTGGATTTGGTTTTCCCTGGCCGACAGAACTAGACTGTTCATTATTTCCCGCAGAAAATAATCATGAACACATGTGCATGGAAGGTCCCGGCGACCATGCACCACCTGTAGGTACAATATCCCTAGATGCATCTAATTCAGGCAGGCCAGGCGCCTGCAAGCGACTCTTGAAACCTAAAAGCTGGGTGTGGGTACGTGGATCAGGACGTTGTGCACAATTTTGTGATGCTGAAGTATTATGGGAAGCTGGGGAACGGCGGGCGGCAGAGGTGTGGCTTGCGACTTGGGCTGCATTGAGTTTCGCTTGTACGTTGGCCGCAGTCGGAGCACAGTTGGCCTGTGGTGACAGAGGTGGAGCTGGCGAGCGTGCTTTAGTACTGGTGGCACTGTGCCGATGTGCCGCAGCCGCTGGTTGGGGCGTTCGCGCTGCGGCAGGTCGCACAGCCGCAGGTTGTGCCAAGGACTCTGCTATGCCCACACGAATGCTGTTGGCACATGATGGTCTGGCCAATCCTAACTGTGCTGTTGTTTTTCTACTTCTATATTACTTCGGGCTGGCGGCATCTGTTTGGTGAGTCAATGTTTTGTTTATACTTTACGTATATTACTTTAATTTACAAAAATCTAAATGAATGCTTATAACTATGTTTATAATGAAGGTTTCTCTAATTCTTTATTTGCAAGTCGTCTTTTATAGGTCCACAATAAAATTAGCATCCACACAAAAGTACTATTGTATGTGTAGGTAGATAGACAATAAAAAACTGTAACAATGCAGAAAAATTGCAGCGTATACTATACCTACGGTGTGACAAATGACGCCCCTGAATATAACAATACTTTGCTCATTGTCAAATAGACGATACCTGCGTTCATTGTTAAGGCCGTCAGGTTAACTTTGTCACCAATCAATTATGTTTCGTCACTTGTCCTTCAAAGAATATTCGGTATTGTAAGTAGTATAAGTCGTACACGTCCTTTACAAATGTAAAAATAGTTTTGGGAATAGATAAATTACCTGCAACTAGTCACTTAAATTTGAATAAAGTATGTAAGCTCTTATGGAATGAAATTGTATTTCAAAGATATGATCCTAATAGAAGTTGAATGATTAATATTGTCTAGGTTTAGACTTCTCCTTTCCTACTAATACTGACTAAATAAAACTTAAATGAATTGACACATTAATGTTATATAAACGGCTAATATCAAATAAAAAGTAATGTAATGGTATACATGTAGTTGGCAGTTTGAAATTTAAAACTAAAATATTAAGTTCTCTTTCCACATATCACCAAAATAAATCAAGCTAGTTTTTCGAGGAACTGTTTCGTAAAAGATTAGAAGAAGGTCGGGCCATAAAGTAAAACGAATTGGGAAATAAAATAAACGAGCTTCAATAAATCACGGCTAGGCGACGCGACGTTATGGTGCTTCGAAGCGACTATACATGGCTTTTCTCACGGAATGTACACAGTCATAGCATGATACTATAAGTTTTAAACCAATAGCACTTCTAAAAATGTAAGTAATATCATAACATATGTGGCAAATAGAATGAAAATTAATTATAAATAGGCACAGAGTAGGTATATGTAATATACAGAAATGATTTCAATGGCGCAGCTATACGTACCTATCTAAAGCATAACCACACGAATATTGTAATGTAGGGTAATATCCTTTATAAGATAATAAATTTTGTTATTAAAGTGACAGTTTCCACTGCATAGGAAATGAGGTACAACCACAAAAAATATGAATACGAAGCAGCTGTAAAACTTCACGTGGTTGTAACGAAATGCATTTTTCTTGATCACGAGGATACAGAAAAACTAGCTCAGTTGCTACTACACATAAAGCGTGGTAATCTCAACTTAAAAATCAATGCCATAGAGTTGATAATTCTTAGTAAAGGTAACATCATAAAATCTGTAACAGACGCCATGCGGATGCGTAATAAAAATATGTATTCCTACTAACATGGGCTTATAGAAATACTAGCGACTTGGTCTGTTTTTTCGAAATATATCTATCACTAGATACAGCCTACGCATAGACGGACAGGCAGACACTTTTGCATTTATAATATACATATAGTAATAGTATCTAGTATCGATAAACATTGTCGATCAACTTCAACGCACAACATTTTATCAATTATCATGTCGTAATAAAGATAGGTAGCTAATCTAAGAAAATCTAAATCTCTTCATATCAAGAATATTTTTACTTAGATACCATAATTATTTATATAATAGGTAAAACCAAACAAAAGATAAGGTCCAACATTACTCCTATAGGCTATTGCTGTTGTGTAAAAGCAATATATATGCATCATAGAACACTAGGGCCCTTTCTGGCCACTGCAAATTGAATAAACACATGGTAAACTGAGGCCTGTGGTTAACAAAAATCTGCACATTTTGTGAAGCAGAAGAAAACACTTCCTATGTGGTTGAAGCCCACTTATGTATAAACAAAATATTTCATTTAGATAGTATACACTCTATCCTTAGGAGATCAACACCATTGCTCCTAAAAATAGCTTTTAATTTATGTCCCTGATGAGTCTAGATAACAATCTGAAATAGGGCAAGCGAAATAGCGCAGGTGGGTGCACCATTCCATTATCATACACAAAAAAACACCATTGCTCCTAAAAATAGCTTTTAATTTATGTCCCTGATGAGTCTAGATAACAATCTGAAATAGGGCAAGCGAAATAGATCTATGTAGATCGCAGTGCTACAGGTCTAAATACCTGAAAATACCCCAAAACTCAATAAATAAAAATAATAAGTGATTATAACAAAATCTAAGAAAGCCATGATTTATAAATTAATTTTGTGTTCATGGCTGGATGAATGACAGTTCAACTAAATGCAAAATCAAGCTATTATGGACCACAGAGATCCAAAAAAAATTAATCAGATTTAATATAATATAAAAGAACAACAATCTTTTTTACAACGAAGACAGGTAGATGAGTAGACACTATCAAATAGAATATCATTAAAATCAGTGCAGATTTGACAATGAATTATATCAATATCACGTGAAATCGTCGATACACGTTACGAATTGCCACCAGATTGATCAGTAGCTCCTTTATGTGTTGATATGTCAAGATCTGTCAAATCAGTCCAACCGCTCCAGTCTAAAATTATATCCTGTCCATAAATACCTACCATTAATAATATTGAAAATATTTTTATTCTGCCAGTTTGTTGAAACCAACAATACTAACCGCTTAACAATGTTGACATTTAGGGTATAAAAGTTTAATTAAATTATTGAATGCTGACGTTTAAAGTCAATAATAGTAACGGAACAAAAGAAACAAAGAACGTTTTGACCTTTTGTTGTTCACCGTTAATACCTGCATGTTTTATGCACTTTAATTTTACAAAAGTGGGCTTAGTCTTTACAGTAATAAACGGTACAATTTCTAGTGTAAATACAGAATAAAAAAAGCCCCAAGACTCTACTTTGCGAATGATTGTATTTATTATGAAATTACACTGGCCAATTGACGTATATTACAACAATGATCTTTCCTATCGGCGAAGGAATTTATTGTCATCTTAAATTACGATCGGGGCGATCAAAGTACTAATCACCTGAGGTGGCTTCCTTTATTATACCTACATGCGTTGTTATCGAACGACACCCAATTAATTTGGTTGGCAGCCAAACGTTGAACCACACGTAAAGACAAACATATGGAAAGTAGTAAATCTGAGTTTATGGCGGACGATATTAATTTCTCGGAAAGCCAGAATTTGTTACAAAACCGACTCGTTATGATAATTTCAAGTGGATTTATGTGTGTCGGCGTTCTTTGATTATTGAACCTCTAGACAGATATTAATACAGCGCTGATTACATCTACTATGTATCTATTAAGAATGTTGGTGTTGCTACGTGTTTTGTTAAAAATAGATGCACCTATTATAATAGTGATTGACATTTAATTTCCACCATTGCTTCGACACTCACAGACATTTATCAATTTTCTATTATTCTAGAGAACCCAGTCTCACCTACTTTATTCTTCGTTTTTAGTCGTACTTATAAACCGGCTCGCAGGACCATTTGTAATTCCACACGTAACCTATGTGCAGAACTGGACAATTACCGAGACAACGCTCGATAGCTCTTCAATAACAATGCGTGGTCCAATTACAAGTAGTTATCGCATTTTATTGACACATGAAAGGAGCCGGTTTAATTGTTTACGACGAACGCGTAGACTTACACTCGCGGCGAAGCCTCCTGCCTCTAAACTAGCCCATTAACATAATAACAGATCGCTGTGCACGGAACTAGTTAGCCGAGCGCATACTGTGGTCGCGGTGTAATGAGAAACGTCAAATTGGTTTTGTATTCATGCGTCGAGCTCTGCGTTTTACGGGACGAGATGTTCCGTTATGATTTGTTCACATAGCTGAATTTCAGGTTTACACGTTGTAACTAGTGACTATTAAGTGAGTCTATAAAAAGCGTACTTCAGATCAATATATTATATGTATATCTGAATACATAAATAAATATAATGCCGATACCGGTGTTATGACTGTTATCATTTTGCTTTCTACATGTTAAGAATAATATTAAAACTTAAAATAATAATAAAGCTATTATTAAGTTAGTGTTTACAATATATTTTAGGACATAATCGATAAACATAATTTTGTTGATTATTTAGTTATACACGAAAACCTCGAATGTGTCATTATAATCTAGATTGTAAGTAATATTGTATTGATAATATTCTCTATCTTTAGAGTACTTACTTAGGTTTCTCCTAAATTTTAAAATATAGTTACTTAACTTAGAAAATGTGCTGTACCGAATATCAAAACAGCAACTGTAAGCAACACAATTTTAATATTTGTGTCTATATATGTATATTATATATACCATATACATATGTGTACATTAAATCGTAAAGTTTAATTACATATTGTATCAATAACATATCGTTGCAAGAAAACTAATCCTTACGATATTGACTATAGTTTAGTTCTGTCAGGATCGTGAAGAATTATTAAAAAATACGACTATTGTAGGTACATATATATTATCACAATTAAAATATACAAATTCTTGAAATTTTTTATGCTAATTGTTTACCAGATCATATATACTGATTGATGTAAATCAAGGTAAGTACATAATTGTTTCAATTTGAGTCGAGTTTCTGTCAAATTGAATAATACTAATAATATAATACGTGTTATAAATGCGAGTGTAGTTGCCTTTGCCGTCGACCAGCCAGTAAGGTATAATCTTAAGGACGGTTCATAATTTCTTGTTTATTTAAAATTTTCCTGCCGCTGCCGATGTAATCTCAACACGAGCGCGCCCCGCCTGCGTGGACCGCCATTCTTGTTAATAGGGCTGCCACAAATCGACGTGCATCGACAAATATAAATTGTATATTTATGTCTAAACATGAATTACTTTACATATATAAGGATGGAATAACATTTAATTTTCAAATAACTTATTTCAAATCAACAAAACCCGAAATGTTACAGTCAGTTTAAGAATCTTCCTACTTGA